CTCATTGTTTTTATCTACAGAACTTTTACATTTTTTGGGTCATGGCAAATCTCGAAAATCATCTGGCCTGAGTAAACATTACATACATTGCTTTGAAGTATTACTTACATTTCTGCATACAAATGATTTGCTCCAAGACTTTATTTTAGAGCTCATAAAAATAACACAATGTACTAGTGAAAATAACCAAAGGCGTTGGCTTGCTTCTGTATGGATTTCAGAAATACTGAAAGCATTGAAAAAATCAAGCCAATTTGTGCAAATGATGAAAAAGTGAGTACATTACAATACTTTGGATTTCAGATATTTTTATCATATTAAAAGTGGCAGTTAACTTCTACATCTACATACACAATACAGCGTGTCGTTACCATCGCGATAATAAATGAACACACGTCTCACGCTAATTGCTAATAATCATAAAAAAATATTAACATTAAAAAAATCCATAATTAAAAAAAAATATTTTTCAAACAAACTAATTAAGTAACAAAGAAACAAAATTTGTACCATCCTATACAACTACAACTAACTGATTTATACTTTCAGAGACTTTTCATTCATTGCCACAGCGTCGCTTTACAAGCCTCTCCTTCTAACAGTATGTTTTGTCTATTTTAAATTCATTCAACCCATTCATATGCTTTGTGCCCTTTACAAATGAACTTTACGTTACAGTTTTATATGTAAGGATGTTCTAAAATTGTTTGTTTTGGGAAATTTTATAACTCTGTAAACATTGAGGTTTGAAGAATGTAAATGTTTAATACAATTTTAAAAAATTATCCTCTATATGTGTGTTCGTTTATTGTCGCGATTGTAAAGACACTATATTTGACTCAGCATATTGAGTCATATAAGTTTAATTTAATGCTGTTAGTTGGACACAAATGACATACATGGTTTGCAAGTTCATAAAAGTGTCACCACAGGCATCAAACTCAAAACTACAACTAAGATGTTCTTTTGATCCTTTATTTTTTTTCCTTTCAAATTAAAATTCATGACAATGATATTATTTTACTGTTACATTTTTGTGCTCCAACATTCTTAAAATTATAATTTATTACTGTCATTTACTAACATATTTTATGTTATGTTATTCGCTAACATATTTCACATGAGCGATGCAAAAGCGGACAGAACTCTATAACATTCTAAACATATCAAAATAATTATAAATTCAAAGGGGTAACCTACTTATTGATTTGAAGAAATATCACAATGATCTAATAGGATAACTTAATAGTAATATTGATAACTAGTAAAATAGTAAAATAAAATATTGATTAACTTAATAATAATATAATACTTATAGTACTGTTCGAGTTTATATTTTATTTAGATTGTAAAACATGTAATATTTAAAAAAAAAATAATTTTCAGAAAACATTCACCTGATTTAGAAAAGAAGAATAGAAAAGATCTTCGCTCCCTCTTTCATCACTGGTTTCCAAGCGAAAAAGGATGTGGGCTTCTATTAGATTTATTTAAACCAGTGCCAAAAGATTTAACCAACATCATGTTTGTAAGGGCAATTATTTCATCATATAATGCATATCTTAACTATTTCATAAAAGATATTCTTAATCTAATTGAACCACCACTACCATCACCAATAAAAGATAGAATATGTAAATTGGCTAAATTGATATCATTCTCCACTAAATCACCTATAATATCTACTCCAACTAAAACTTATACAGTGCTTGATTTAAGATCTGCTACAGAAAATGATTGTAGAGATGCTACAGAGAATGATTTTGTTATTGATATTGATGAAAATCCGAAAATTCTACAAGATGATGATGAATTTAATTTAATAGAAACTGCAACAAATTTACTCTCAAAACGAACAAATTATGGTATTTGGCAAATAGTTCCTAAGGACTATGATTGGTCTACATGCCCTATCGGTAAACTACCATGGAATGAAGATGGTATAATGAAAAAGACTGAAGTAAATTGTAACAGTGCAGAACATATGGAAACTGAAACTATTTAAATAAAACAAAAGAATTTCTACAGCAATTGTTTTAATATTTGTATACAGTTTAATGGTTTGGTTACATTTCATTGTATTGACATCATAGACCACTAATAAGTAAAACAATATACATGTTACGTAGCTAATTCTATACATAATACAGATAATCATCGAAATACAGCAATTTTTTTCAAACAGCAATAAGAGAATACAGTATTGGTCCTTAGTAGAGTATGAAATTCTTTACTTTAAAATAGTATCTACAACATGTAGGATGACCCCTGATCTAATAGTAATTTTGTTACATATAGCAATATTTTGAATGTAAATGAATTTGTTTAAAAGATGGTATTACTCAGGTTTATTTAACAAAATCATTTTAGGATATTTATATTTCAACAAAACTTATAAAAACCTCTTATTCTTTTAAAACACAACTTTTATAACTCACAGGTTTCTTGATAGCCAAAAATATTGTAATGTTTGTATTTAGCCTAAAACCAGATAAAACACTAGCAATAATCCTATTTCTTACACTGTTAATGTATTATTTACATAGTCCTTATTGTACTCCCAACTTCACTTGCCACATTGCACATTTTTTCAACCTTTACAGAATAACTTAACTTCCAGTATGAGTATATTACTAAAAAGAACACTATAATGCGCCAGCTTCTACTTTTTTTTTTAAATATAAAACCCCCATCATAAGATTGTCGAAACATGTGATTGATAGCGCAATAATAATATTTTAATACAAAGATACAAGATCACTAACATTACTTAAATAACAGCCAACTTTCTTAGAGATGTAATGCTGAAAGCAAACTATTGAAGGCACAGAAAATGCAGTACATTAACTACTGCGACACAACCACAATAACAGTTTTTTCATTCTAGAAATTTTGTTCATATCCTTAAAAAAAAGATGCATTTTAAGACTAAAATGTTCTGATTGTCATGAACCGCATTGTTGGTTATATATCAGTTGTGAGATTCATTAATGAAACAATATTGAACATTAAATTATAAATGATGTCTTAAAAGTTTTATTAAAAATTATATATCAGGGATTAAAGCAGTGTTTGCAATACATAACTTTTTTTCACAGAATAGTTCGTTGTTTGAAATACTAAGCAAGTCTATCTATCATACTATATATAAACTTATTTAAAAGCGGGTATAGTATTTGTGACTTAACCATACATCAATAGCTTATGAATAGACAGTCTTTTAGATAATAATAGCAAATAAAAGCAAGGTACCATCAGTAATGCGTCTGCTCCAACATAGTTCTAAAATATGTGCGAGTAAAGAACATTTCAAATGCGGGCAGTCAAATCAGTTTCAAAAGGCCCATTTGTTTCACCAACAGGATGTATAGTCAAGAATTTTATGTTATTTTGGACAGTTTCATGAAAATGTGCACACACTGTCTAATTTACGACTGTACAAAAAGGGATAATGATACAAGTGTCAAAATATTTGAGTTGTACCATTTAAATCACCAACTTAAAGTTAACTGGCAAGTCAACTCAATTCTTAACACTTGCGAGTATACACTCACCTAAGTTATATCAACATATTTAAGAACCAAAAGGAAATTAAATGAAATAACATTACTTTGCGATTTTATAGGCTAAGGCTAGTTATAAAATGTTGGACAAAATTTTTCTTAAATTAGAAAAGAAACCGATTAATTACGAAATTTAACTATTAATTTTATTATTATTGTAGATATGAAGTATTATTTTTTTGTTCTGTCAGACTGAAGTTTTTAGAGTTATTTAAACAAAACAGATGCATCAGTTTTAGTAATCAATTATTTTCCCTTTAAAATATCAACTATAACACATTAAAAAAAATAATACAGCTAATAGTCCTGACAATATATATGGCTTAATTAACAATCACATTTCGATCCAAGTAACAAGTTTACAATAAATATAAAATATATCCTAAAATAAATGTGAGCCGTGATAAATTACAAATGAAGAATAATCTCAAAATTTGCCTTAATGGTAATCTTATGTCTGAAGATAAAGTTAGCACATACATTACATTAAGCTCTTCTCTGATATAAGTTTTAATAGCAAGTAAAGTGACAAATTTATTTTGCCGAATTTTTTAATCACCCCTATTCATACAGTTTCTATGAAAAATCAATTCCAAAGAAAACAAAATATATTTAAAACTATAAAAGCTTATGACCTAAATAAATTCGACCTTGTATGCCTTCATCATAAAAGAATATGTGGTAAAGTAACCATATATTTAGAAAAATGACTGCCCAAAATTGCACCATAACTGTATCATAATAATAAAAATTAAATATAAGTGTACTTAAATGAGTTTTGTGGTATAACATGTGAACTCTTATTGTTTGCATTTTTAAATTTATGGAATAAATCTTAAAATTTTAAAACATTGTTTAATCAGATATGCTTACAATACAAATTGAATTTTTAAAATATTTTTGTAACTGTCAATGTTTTCAGAAATTTATTTGTTTGAATCTGGTACAAGTAGACAGATGTAATTTAAAATTCAGCAACATTCTGGATATCGTAAATCATATTGGTATTTTAAAATTTAACGAACATATTTGTTTTTGAAAAAAATTTTACTTATAACTCATCACAATTTTGGTTATGTTCTCATGTTCTACGAGATACCAATGATGCTATGTGTGATAATAAAATATTACTTCATGCTTTGCCAATAAAATTTAGTTTGAGCAAGTATTAAAATAATATTGGGCAAGATCATATTCATAAAAAATTTTTTTTTTTATAATTTGACATAACTAAAAAGAAACATTTGATGTTGATGACATTAAGGATCTCCCTACTTTGTTTTATTTTAGGAAATGGACTTTAAGAAAAATAAACATTTGTCACTATAAAGGACTTGAACAATTTTCATGTCTTCCGTATAGGCCTGTCAATGCCTTGTGTAAGTCTACAGGGTCTTTTATTTAGAAACTGTTTGTCCCAAGTCTTACTGATGATTACACCATTATGGGGTCGTCTGAGGAGAGTTGACGGTGCAGTAAGCGTTGTGAGCGCAGCGAAGCCGAACCGGTGCTTAGATCGTCCGTGCTTCCAAATTCGCCGTCGTGATCCGTTGTTGACAGCAAGTCGTCGTCAGATGTCGCCCTTAAATGTTGCACACATGAATGAATTGATAAATTATCTAGTAGGATTGATAATATATGTCAAAATTATCTATGCAAAATGACTGAACATAATTTAGATAATAAATTCAGCTAGTAAAAAGAAAATATAGTCCAGACTATCGCATTGATTAAGATGATGGCTATCTATTACTAATTTTGCTTTGTTTATGGACAGTTATAACAATATTGGTAATGCTAAGGAAAACAATGGTAAAGCCTAGCTATGCTCTACCATTAACTAATGCAATTTATGTTATTCATTCTTTATTGAAAACACCTAAGAAAGGGGGTTAAGAAAGGGTGCCCTAATGCCTATTGGCATTCTCTCTACTAGTCAATTTATATTATAAAATATATGTTCGATTTGATAATAATTATATTGGGTTGACAACTAAGTAATTGCGGATTTGTTAAATAAAATAAGTTTTTTTTTACTTGGAAAGAAGTTTAATCTATAATGTATTTTCCATTTTTTTCGATGACCTTTTGCCATATATGTGACAACTTTGAAAATTCGACGCTCGTAGAAAAATAAGATCCTTTTTGGCCAAAAACTCAGTTAAGTTAGTTTTACAGCGTCATCATCATTGAAAGTTTTACCACAAAGGGAGTTGTCCAGGAATCGATATATGTGGTAATCCCCAACAATTAACAATTGAAAGAAATAATAAAGCAAAATACGGCGAAACCGTTCGTTTTTGCACGCCACTTTAATATAGAGGTAAAATTAAAATTAATTTTAAATTAAAATTAATTTTACCTCTATATTAATGTGGGCTAATAGCTTTAGGAAAATATCTATGCAATGAACTTGTAAAGCTAGGTAAAGAGGACAGCTAACATAAATAAGAAGAAGAAGATCGTTACAGTTATGGATATTACGAAAATAGGAGTGAGAAACATCTATAAGTGAAATCCACAATCACTTAATTGCCAACTTATTAGAATATAGGTTAGATAGGTCCCATATTCCCCTTAGCTAAGTTAATTCACTTAAGCTTGTAAAGACTGTGCAAAGAAATTCGACAACAACTTCACACAGTGATCACATCGGCGTTACCTGATTAGAGTGGGAAGATTGTTGGTGAGTATCTCCTTCTCCTTCTGTATCTCGCTGATGTGGCCCTCGAGCAGTTGCTGTTCGGCGCGGGGCGCGTGGGCGGCCAGCCGAAGCGACCAGAGCCGGTGCGAGGCCGTGTGGCACGCCGTGTCCAATGTCGCGATATCTTGCAGCATGCCGCGCACCTGAACATGTATATTATTTATTACTAAAGCTATATATGCCTTTTAAAGGGGAACCAGTTGGATGACTCGATGGCACCGTTGCTAAGCCGTCGATTCCCACACGGCACAACTATTTGTGTGACCCACAAATAATTGTACCGGATCAGGGTATTTGTTTCGAAAGGAGGGTTTAACGTGCAGGCCCTCATGCAGGCTGGCGGCCGGTCATAAAATATAAATAACCAAAACTTACAACATGATTCACATGTTGTGCCGACCCTAGCTAGGTGGGATAAGGGCAGAAGATGATGATATAAGATAAGAGGAATGAATTGATCGCTCTCAAGCTATTGAGAGCGTATGTTTTGAGGGGAGGGGGAAAAGATGTGGATGTATATGTGTATGTGTGCGTGTGTGTGCGCGTGTGTGCACTAGACCCCACCGTGCGCATCTTGTCGACGAGAATGGCCTCGAGGCAGGCGGTCTGGCGCGCGATGTCGTGCAGCGAGTCCTGCGCCGGCTGCACCTTGTGCGTGCGCAGGATGCACGGCGCGAACACGATCGCGAGCGCGTTCGGGCCCATTCTGAGGACAAAACACGTTTCATGCAGTCATTACTTCTATTATTATTACTTAGTTTCGTCGGTACACTATAGCTTGTATGATTCGGCGTCGAATTCGATTGACGATTTTTCAAATGAAAGATAGCGACGAAGACTGTAATTTCACGTTCTGCAAAATAACTGTGGTAGGGCCACACTTTTGCACGAATGGGCAGGTTCGTCCGGGTAAGTAACACGGCCTCACAGAATATCGGCGTGAACTAGAAGTGTTACACTTCGATTCGTCTGCGATTCGTCTGGTGAGTGAGGCTGAATGACCTCTTTATTAAAAGGTCAATCATCTGCTATCCTTTGTTTTTCCAAAATCAAACTTTCGATAGTGTCATTATTAAGGATGAAATTCTGAAATGTAATACATGCAAATAACAAAATTTACCTGTTGTGATCTTCACCCAAGGCTACCCTCGCCAAATGGAATATCAACCTCTCCACAAGATCAAAATTTGGCTTGGGTAATTTCTTTAAAATTGTAAATATACTTGAAACTCGCTCCTGCAATTTGAAAACAATAAATATTAGAAATTAGTTTGTACTTATTAAAGTCAATGATGGCCTAGAGATATGGCATCGGAGAATATTAAGGTAAAAAATGTTTGCAAAAGTTAATTCTACATGAAAACTTTGAATCATCAAATCACTGAGACCTAAAACCAAACAATTTATATTTTCAACCAAAGTTACTCTAAAACTAGCAAGCGATTCAATGGAACAACAATGCATCATCATGTCTGTTGTATGGGTCAATGTATCATGAGTCTCACTTAAATATTTTTTATTCTTTTTTTCTGTTATTTGTTGTTATACCGGTCAAAGGTTTAAATACTTTCACTACCTACTACATGGGCCCATCTCCGGCCGACCGACCTCATACTTGGGTTGGCATACGAGAGGGCGAGAAGCATGAGATCACTACTCTGTCCGAGCAAATGTGTACGCGGGGGCAATGACCTGCGGGTCGGTGATCTCGGCGGCGAGTATGAAGTCGTCGTAGAGGTCGAAGGTGAGCAGCGGCTCGGGCAGCTCGCGGAAGAAGCTCTTGAGCACGGAGGCGCGCACGTGCACCGCGTACGAGTCCAGCCGCTCCACGCCCTCCTGCGGCCGCTCGTCCAGCAGCCAGCGCAGCTCGCGCACCTGCAAGTTGCCACGTCGTGTGCGAGAGTGAACGAGCGTGTGTGTGTGAGGCTGGGAGCAGTTCGCTCATTTCCCTGAGTCGGTAGTTCGTTCCGACACGAGTGATTAACCACTACTACTTATACGTCTGGCGATCGACCACGTCGGTTGTGCGCACTTATTCATACGAATAACGACATAATCGACAGCGACGATATCGTACATGAAATGAATCCACTATATTCTCCGAAATATATTTAAATTCTACTCACAGACATGAAGGTACATGTAAACTATATGTTCAAATACTGGCAAGTTACAACTAAAGTTCGCTGCAGCGTCAAATTATTTAGTTATGACGTCTAAGCAAACTATTAACATAAGCGGCGTTAGATCGCTTTTAGAATAAAGATTTCTTACGACCAACGTCGCAAATGACATGGCTTTTCAGTTTCAATAGCACAGTCGACGGCCGCTAACGACACAGTCAAATAATCCCCTAATTCTGTTGATGCATGTATGTCCACATAATATGTGATGCTTAAGTAGTATCTATCCGACTCTTGGAAACCTCGCTTAGATTTTGCATAAGCTCTGTCTTGTCTGCCTTATGTTTTTTTTAACACAATGTAAACATCCCCAAGACAAGAGTGAGTAGGTAAATCACATAACCTTACTAAAATCATCAACCCTCCATTGACAATTTGACACCATATTGTGGCAAGTTTTATTGGCTCTAATAAAATCAAACTTTCGGAAAATAGCAGTTCTACTTTATGAATTATTTCTATAAAAATGTTTATTTCACTTAACATTACACCCATCGATATATCATTATTGTACCTTAGAACTGAGTCCACTCTTTCTGTATAATCCCTCCGTATACAAGCCTGTCATCTCTATGGTCGTGATCAACCTGTCAACGACGATGGGTATGTTGCCATCTCCTGTCGGCAACTCGCTTAATGGCACACCAAACACCTGTATTGAAAATACATAATGTGAAATTCATATTTTAATAGTATCTCACTCTTAGTGAATATGACTGCACTGATAATGTAATCAATGTCTTACGAGTAGTTGTCGTCGATTAATTTAGTATGAATTTAGAATGGATTTTTTTTAAGTTTACAGAAAACAAGGCCATGAAATAACTTTTAATTACCTTCCCACGTTTGAGAACACCATACTGTTCCCTTCCACCAGCATCCACTGCACCAACGATGGCTGCGCTGGGTGTCACAGAGTCCTTCCTGCACTGCGTCGTCACCTGAATTCACACAATGTCCAATGAATAACCAATGATTTATAACCAATTGTCCTCCATTTTAATAAGAAATAATACAAATGAATAACATTTACTTGCATATTTAAAGTAAGAATGTTATTCTTCAGTATATTATTAAATTAGAACCCAATGAAGCCTCCAATGGAATAAGTAGCATGATAAAACCTAATTATACTAATTGCATTATACTAATAATCCATAAATATTACACTTTAAACAGTTAAAAAGGCTTGAAGATTAAAAGTCATCGTAATAAGTTCAATTCACATATAATTTATGTTCTCACTATTATAATAACCGTGGAAATATAACAGGAAATTTACCTTCATGTAGCACTTCTTGTGCGAGGTCAACTTGCACATTTGACAAATAAGTGAGCGCTCAATTGGCCACATGAAGAAGGTCTTGCAGATTTCACATTCCGTAGGGATGTTGATCATGCAGAGAATGAATGTGTGTCCCTTGTACTGAATTGGTTCGTCCACCTGAATGAATTTTAACAAATTGAAATATCACTTTTAACAATAACATATAATATTTAGGTTTATTTTAGTGCTCATGTGCACTCAAAAAGAAGTTTAAATATGAGTTAAATAGATAAGTTGTCGAAAAAATTTTCGGAATACCACGCTCCAGAGATGCAAGTTTCTTATCCAGTAGTGGCGAAAATTTTTCGACAATTTGTTTACAAAATTTCCTATTTATTTGTGAGTATAGTAAATAAATTGCCGATGTCAAACATGTTTATCAATTGAAATATTTATGTCGAAACCGAAAACTAAATCAGTTATTTTAATCAACAACCCATTTATAAATGTCAAATTCATGAGTCACACTTACGCCTAGTTTCTGAAACACTGATCATCATAAAAATTAACTAATAAATTTAACATATAACAAATAAATAAAGTTAATTTTTACAATTATCAGTGTTTCAGAAACCAGGCATTAGCGTGTATTTTGTTTTCGGGATTAGTAAATCGCGGCTTAAATATTTATTTTGTTTAAATGACTTCGTTTTAACTAGTCATCACAGTATCGTGAAATATCTTATGATAAATAGTAAATTCTCTATCCAGAACTTCTAACAAGTTGTAATGTAGATAGATTTCAAGCAACCTTTCGCTTCTTGTCCTTTTTCCTCTTGGTCCTGGCCTTGTCGGTCTCGTGCTGGCTCATGAACTCGTCCATGAAGCCCCGGAAGGCGTTGACGCCCATCGTGATGGAGAGCGTGGAGCCCTCGCGGGCGCAGACGGTCTCCATCACGTGCAGGAAGTTGCCGATCAGGTCCTTGTACTTGAGCGCCGAGCCGCGCGTCTCCACCACGCTGTACGTCGCCACCAGGTTGTCCTTGAACTCGCGCAGCGCGTGCTTGAACACCCTGTCCACCTGTGGCGTAGCACGTTTGGGAAAAATTATTATACTTAATTTTTTTACGACGCGCGACACCAACTCCACCGTGTTACCATGGCAACCGATAATAACTTTTTGTCCTTTACCTATAATATTTTTTTATTATACAGCGTGTCTTTACAATCGCGACAATAAATGAACACACATATGGGGGGATAACTTTTTAAAATTGTATTAAACATTTACATTCTTTAAACATCAATATTTACAGAGTTATTAAATTTTCAAAAATAAAGAATTTTAGAACACCCTTACGTATAAAACTGTAACGTAAAGTTCATTGGTAAAGGTCACAAAGCATATGAATGGGTTGAATGAATTTAAAAGAAACAAAACATACTGTTAGAAGGAGAGGCTTGTAATGCGACGCTGTGGCGCGAGTAGTATAGGATGTTACAAATTTTGTTTCTTTTTACTTAATTAGTTTGTTTGAAAAATATTTTTTTTAGTTGTGGATTTTGTTTAACGTTAATATTTTTTTTTGATTATTGTCAAGTAGGGTTAGACGTGTGTTCATTTATTGTCGCGATGGTAACGACACGCCGTATATATAATAGTTCATTTAATGTGTTTTTTTTTCACAAACAAAGAGCATTGGCACATAGGATAAAATTTTTGGTTATTTTACATTTGTTATGATATGAAAGAAGTATAGTTTCTTCATTCACACACAAACACGTTTTTTTATAGAGAAATTATCTGATCATGTGGTCAATACTTGTCCCGTGTGGGAATCGAACTCACGAATCCCGACGCCGAAGACAATAGCAACCGCGCCACCGAATCATCTAGTAATGTCTATTACACTAAAAGAAAAGTAATATTTTAATAATAATTAATTCAAGTACAGCCATTCAAAATTGTCCACAACATTTTATTCTCATCATAGAAATATATCAATAAATTGATATATTTCTATCAAGCGAATGAGTATCACTGACCTCCGATTGTTTCTCGTTCTCGGACGATTCCATTTGGTAAATTTTCTTTGTGATGAAGTTCTGCATCGCTTGCAGTTCCGTTGCGTCGGATATTATCTTGTCTGTCCTGTCCATGAACTCGGACGTGCCGGTCAGGCTGAAGTTGGAGCTGACCGAGCTCTTGGACTGGTCCGAGAGGGAGTTGTAGGCGGAGTCCTTCGTGATCCTCTTGCGATACTTGTGGCGGCCCCTTGGCGATATCGTCACCGGGCTGGAGCACGGCATCGTGATCACGCCCTTGTTCTGTATGCACTTCGTGTGGTACAGCTGTTTGCAGTCGATGCACCGCTGGCCCTGTGTGATGAACGCGTCGATCGCCTGATGGCAGTACACGCACTTGTCACCTTTCGCGAAACGCGTGCCCTTACGAAACCTGAAAATTGATACTGCAAATATAACATACCCAATACCACATATATAATACGTAAAGGACGAGAAGGTATATTATGTCGTGATGTATCTTTGATATAATGAACACCCTCTTGAAAGCTGAATGAAAGGCAGTTTAACATTAGGGTTATCAATTTAAAAAGAATTGAATTATAATAATTATAATGAGAAATATTAAGATGAAAACATAGAAGGAAATATATTTTAAGATATTAGAATATTGTATAGCTACTTTTTGACCTTTACCTCTTTAATTTACCTGTTTAATCGCGCAAAAATAAATAACTAGGTAATTGCAACGAGTTTCATAGGGCGCGTAAAACTTATATTACACAAGTTTTAGATATTGGAATATTGGCATTCAGATTTGAGACTAAATATTTTTTTTCAAATATTTTATTCGATTGTTTTATAATTAACTATTATATCAAGGGATTGTTCCAATTACGAACGTACCTACATACTGATTGTTACGTAGTGGTGTACAATTCGCGCCCAGCTCCACTAATGCGCCCAGACAATATATTAATTAGTTTTCTCTCGTACCTGTGTCCTGCGATGCGGAATAGGCCGTTCCCCGTCTGGCCGATGTAGTCCGTGGAGCGGGGGTCGGCGGGGCGGAGGTCGGGCTGAAGGTCGGGTCGAAGGTCGGGCCGAAGGTCGGGTCGAAGGCCGGGCCGCCTCTCGGGCGCTCCAGGCGCGGGGTCCGAGTTGCGCCGCCGCCGCGCGCCGCCGGCCTCCACGCGTGCGCTCACGCTGAAGGCAAAACGATAGAGACGATGACTTTCCGATTGGAACTCTTCGACGGAATTCGTTTCTGGCTTCCGAGGCTTAAGCAGCTCAAATTATAAAGCTTAATTTATGAATGCTTGCTAAAGGTTATGCTTAAATAGCCTCTGTTACACTTTTTAAAGTAAGGGCCGCAGTGTCCACTATTTAAATAAGGATCCACCCAAGCCATTTAGTTTGGTGAGTAGCAATAACAGAAGTTCATACAAAGATGCCCTCTAGGTCCCCTCAATATATCTAGCGGTTCGTGGAAGGTTAACTCCCGGGAGGTGCTTAAAGTGACACCACAGTGATGGACTCAGTGCCGGATTAAGCAAGCGCGGGGCCCGTGGCAAATTCTTTCAAACAGCCCTTAATCTGCAATGGATGCGTAAGTATAAATAGGTAAAAAACAATGCAATACTCTTACTTACTTAATAACTTTTACTGAAAAATTACGCTCAAAGAGAGATGAGTGGGTTTAAATTTGCGGGGCCCCCATTCGTGCGGGGCTATGTGGTTAATTCGGCACTGGATGGACTACGACGTTAAACCTTGAAAAGGGGTGTGGCAAGCGCAAGCAAAGTTTAACCACCGCCCATGTAAGTTTGCAATCGCCATAAAATCGCGGAGCTCGTGGAATCGGATGTCACGTGCCATGACATCTTCAAACCCAAACGAAAGAGTGCCATTAGACGTTTCGTCGATGTGTTGTGTTAACGTACATGTCTCGTTCGGGCAGCGGAGCGGGCAGCGGGCGGGGTGCGGCGTCGGTGCGGTCTCCGAGCTGCAGGTCGACGAGGTCGGGCGGCAGTGCGCGCGGCGAGCGGCGGGAGGCGCGCACGGGCGGGGCGGGCGCGGACGCGGGAGCGGAGGCGGCAGCGGGCGCGGCAGCGGACGCGCCCTCCGTGGCCCGCTCCACGGCACGCTGCGCCGACACGCACGCTGTTCGGCCAATGGTTTACATTCGATTAAACACACAATCTGCTTAAAATACCGATGAAAAAAGAAACATTGCAGATGAAAGAAGTTGAGATTTTCCTCGGTGTGGCAATCAGTCGCTTAGCTCAGTGGTAAAGTGTAGTAAAGCGTCAGTGTCAAAATACAGATATTAGCACATCAAGGTTTTAAACCTTGATTTAAACACAACAATTGGGTTATCTGTTATAGTGCGGTCAAAACTTAGTCGCGTCTCGAAAGTCGAAATTCGTTCGACTGCTCATTGCAGAGTCTATTTACAGGCGAAGCTGCGCAACCATATTGCGCTTTCGTTCGCACCGCAATCGAAAACGCTTTGTCTTTACTAACACGACATAACGACGACTTATTCTATATTATACAAAATCTTATGTACTGTCGGGTAACGACTAGTAACGTCCGCGAATTATGTTGGTATTCGCTTTTATGAACGTACATTTCGTATTCGAAGAAACTAGCAAGAAAAACATTTTTATGAATCATCGTTACACATTTAAAACTGCACTGAATTTATTTTCACTATAAACAATTTATAAAATAAAAAAACAATAAATGGACTCACCGTAATAATAAAATATGAGTTTAATACAAAAACTACAATAACCGAGCATCAATAGCGTCACTAAAATGGCTAAACAATAGATGTCTAGTTTGTCTTTTTCGAAATATCTCACAACATTTATTGTGGACACCATTTTACTCCATGAAGGACATGACACAAATGACACGGTGTCTGTATAACTAAAACAGCCAAGAATAAAAATTTTCACCGTAATTACCGAGATAATTTAAGAACTTAATTGAACAAACAAGACTGTTTATTATAACTCATCCAAAATATGTATAACGACTAATTATTACTTTTTTTTTCGAGTCATTTCCAATTATGTATTTTCTGTTGTTAATAGCGGGTAATCCCTTCCGTGTATTGTTTTGAAAAATAAAGTGAAACGCGTAGAATCTTAATGACTGCACTTTTGAAATTGACAAGGATATTATGTTCAAAAATAAGGTAAGAGAATGAAGTACTTATATAGAAAAAATATCATGTTTCTTATTCAATCGATATACGTATAGTCAGCCACTCTATGACTTTATATCAAGTTCTTCAATCGCTACATCTAGGTCGATTAGCAAAGAACGCCTCGGACATTAAGGCTGCCTATAGAGTGTTGTTTGATAAATAGTAGACGACCCCCGACATCGTACCTTACAAAAGAATGAATGGATTATGGTGTTCTTTTTTTTTTGTTTGAAAGCTGACGCGATCGAGATGGTTCTCAGTTATAATTTAAGTACTTTTTTTGCATCAGGAGGTTACTTAACATTTATAATTTTATATACCGTTGTATTTAATTGGAACCTTCGAGATACAAATAAGAGCCGCAGTACGAAGGAGTACGAGGTGAAGAACGAAGTGTTGTGTGGATCGTGATGTCCAGTGTTCATCAACAGCGCCATTTTCAAGGCATTGCCTGCCTCGCACAACCACTCTGCGGAACCAGCTGCCGCCGGCGGTCTTTCCGAACCGTTACGACCTGGGAACCTCCAAGAAGAGAGCATACTCTTTCCTAAAAGGCCGACAACGCACTTGCACACCTCCGGTTTTGCAGGTATTCATGGGAGGCGGTGATCACTCATCTTTTTACGATAAAAAAAACAAAGTGGAATCGTACCGGCATCCGAGTTGTGGTCGAGGGCGCGTTGCAATGCGTTGGCGTGGTCCCTCGGAGAGCGGCGGACTGGCGGCAGACTGAGAAGGCTCGATAGGCTACGCTGGTACAGCTGGGGCGAGGTGCGTCTGCGGAACATTCAACGAACGTGTGAGAGTATATTTTTACAGAATTTTTAATAGCAATAAGGAATTTCGACCAAACGTTAGTTAATGGACAATACTGTAATTTTATAAGTAAAATTTCCAATCATCGCTAATTATTATTCGTTTTATAGCCGTAGTTTTTACTTAAGTTCAAACTTAAAACTACTTTAGTTGTTTTTGAAACATTTTTTTTAATAGGGTCCCGTTTTACCCTTCGGGTACGGAACCCTAAACACAAATCGAAAGGCCGCCCACTTACCTCGCATTGGTCAGGCTCGAGTCGTCGGTGTCCGTCTGGTTCCAGTCGCTGACCTTGCGCAGGTACTCCTCGCTGCTGCTGGCCAGCGATTCGGCCAGCTCCCGCTCCCTTTTCTGAACGGCCGAATGACAATGGACGAATATAATCGACCGTTTACACATCGAACATTCGAAGCTGCCGTGATTGAAAGCTTTTAACTCAATATACTGCTCGAGTATCTAAGTTATATTTCGATGTGTTTAATTTTAAATGTTGACTTATCACGTGAATTTAATACTCCTGAAAAAATAACAAAAAAGTGAAGTCCGCCAATGAGTAGTGAGGCCGCGTGGTGGACTATAGCCTAATACTCTCAGTATCAGCCTACTTTTGCCCAGCAGTGAGATATACATGTACATATAAGTTGTTACTTTACTATTCAAAGCTGTTGTATTCTTCTTTAGTTCAATTTATGGATGTGAAACGTCCTCACAACACAGGATAATGTTATCCCACAGTAATGGGGCAATGTTTTCGAAGGGAATACTGCAAAAGATCTTCAACGTCGCGATGGCCGTTGGGACTTGCTGCTAACCCCTTCCGCAGAGAGCACAAGCTTTAGAACCCAGCAATAATTGGATCAAAAATCAAAGAAAATCAACAATTACATAACTATAATACTTAGCTTTTCCACCAAAGCCTTCACTTCCAATAACTAAAAATTAACCCGCGTACGTTGTAAGAGATGAATTTATACTCCTCAAAAACTAAATACCAACCCCCACCCCTCACTCTAGGGTGTAGAGAATATCACGATACAATAGGTGTCAAACCAACAAATTTTAAATAAATCACAACAAACTGTACTAATAAATTATTAATTCGATTAAATATAGCGTTAAATATAGAGGATAAGTTTTTAAAATTGTATTGTTTATTTACAGAGTTATAAAATTTTCCAAAACAAAGAATTTTAGAACACCCTTACGTATAAAACTGTAACGTAAAGTTCATTTGTAAAGGTCACAAAGCATATGAATGGGTTGAATGAATTTAAAAGAGACAAAACATACTGTTAGAAGGAGAGGCTTGTAATGCGACGCTGTGGCAACGAATGAAAAAGTTTTTTAATGTATGTTTCTTTTTTACTTAATTACTTTGTTTGAAGAATATAATTATATAATTAATTATGGATATTTTTAACGTTAATATTTTTTTATGATTCTTGGCAAGTAGCGTTACACGTGCGTTCATCTATTGTCGCGATGGTAACGACACGCTGTATGCACAACAGTTACAACACAAGCGCACCTTGTTCCGCTCGGTGATGATGTAGTCGCGGTCCAGCTTGAGCCAGAGCAGCTCGTTGGCGAGGTCGTCGGCGGTGATCTTGCTGGGCACCGCCACGCCGCTCTGCGCCCTGCACCGGCCGCCGTTGTTCGCGCTCCAGCTCTCCTCCGGCGACGACTCGTTCGCCTCTTGGCTCACCAGGCTGCCGAACGCATCTCTATGTTGGCTTATACGTAAATCAATATATTACGACGCATTTTTGCACAACCTTCTCTAGTCCCGAATTGAGCAACGCTTGTACTACGGGTACTAGATAACTGATACACATAGTTTTCTTTTTTCTAGATAAATGAACACACATATAGAGGATAACTTTTTAAAATTGTATTAAACATTAACATTCTTTAAACATCAATATTTACCGAGTTATAAAATTTTCCAAAATAAACAATTTTAGAACATCCTTACTATAAAACTGTAAGGTAAAGTTCATTTGTAAAGGTCACAAAGCATATGAATGGGTTGAATGAATTAAAAAGAGATAAAACATACTGTTAGAAGGAGAGATTTGTAATGCGAAGCTATGGCAACAAATGAAAAAGTCTCTGAATGAATGAATCAGTCAGTTGTAGTTGTATGGAATGTTACAAATTTGGTTATTTTTTATTTAATTAGTTTGTTTGAAAAATATTTATTTTTAATTATGGATATTTTTTAACGTTCAAATATTTTTTATGATTATTGGTAAGTAGCGTTAGACGTGTGTTCATTTACTGTCGCGGTTGTAACGACACGCTGTATGTTATAATGTTAATACCCTTTGTACAAAAGAGGCCTCTTTTATTTTGCAGGTATTTCAGCTTCTCTCTACTAATAATGATGACTTGTCATCATCAATATTTTTATCAGTTTTTATATCATATTTTAAGTCATATAATAAACGAGAAGACAATAATAAAATGCATCCTATTCTATTCTTCTTTATCACTACAAAGCTACAGATCTAGTTCACAAAATGACGTCAAGATCTAGGATCGATTTTTCAGGACACTACACTTAAACTAATTTTCTGCTGTCCCCACACTAAACCGAAAACGATATAACACTAGCCCTCGAAATAGATGTAAGTTAAATACGGGTGAGATCATTTAGATTAGTAGTTACTTTTTAAGAAAAATATGATGTCAACACAACCTTCTTTAAAATGATTCCAACAATTTTTTAAAAAGATTCAACTAAGTTTACCTCGAACTGGAATGCTTGAGCGGCATCTCGTTGACATTCTGCGTTTTCGAAATTCTCTTCTTTTGATTTTTGGCGATGATACTTTCCACGTCGTGTTTGTTCTCCCAGCTGTGTCACAAAATAGATAAAAAAATACGCAAACTTCGATACTTGAACGCGACATTGAAATAAGCGAGTAATAATAATAATAAAAATTAAACCTAAAAATACGATGTAGTGATTAAAAATCTGTCATGTAGCTATTGGTGAAAATGATTTTAGTTGACGGGCTGATTTAGTGAATCCCATAGGTTTGGGCACCCTTAGCAAGGGGGCGTTTGTGGGTAAAATGGTGAAAACGGACATAAGTCTAATAAGTCTTTACTAATCGGTTAATATATGTGACTTTACCTGTCTACGGGCAGCGAGTACGTAGCGCGCAAAGCTCTGCCACTGTTGGATCCATCGAAAAGTGCATCTCTGTAAATGAGATTAGTTTTTATTAGTCATATTAACATTTAATATTTAGTACATGCGACATTCTGTTGGCTGGATAGGTAAGAATAATCAGAAAGTCCTCTCTGCTGCGCGCGATAACGAATGGAATTGGTTTACCTTTTGGGGTTACAATGTCAAATAATAATGGCATGTCGAGGGTTAGCATTCAATGAAAGGTCTTGGATGAGATACGTACAGATTAACAAGTGTCCACAGACTCAGTATGCAAGGACAGATTACATACCAGTATAGTTTAAATTAAAATAATAATTCAGTATTTTTGAAGTTATACTTCCTTTGGCGCGTTTGGGAAAAATGGTGAGGGTGAAATCTTTACGATGCGGACACCAACTTTCTGGTGTTACCATGGCAACCGATAACAACTTTTTGACACTCCTATAATCCCGTTGTCAATTGAATTTGACCAATGTATTTTCTTTTACAAACAAAGAGTACTGGCACAGGGGATAGAATTTTTAATTATTTTTCTTTCGTTACGCTAAAGAAGTATAACTTGTTACGTGCGTACATAAGTACACGCACGCGTTTATGGAGTTGTGTTTAAGCGGTCCCTTAAGCTTCGCAGTGGAACCGCACCCGCTATGTGTAATACTCACAGCTTAAGCTCCATGATGTTCTTCAGCACAAGCATGCTGCTGTCGAACTCCGGCGACGAGCTGTACTCCTCGGGCAACGTGGGCGCGCTACTTTCATGCTGTCAACACGGACACACAACACGACACTGTATACATGTGCGTTCACGGCATGCTATGCTTCGGATGCTGGTCTTTTAAACTGTGTCTATGAATGTATGGGTTGGGTGGTGAATTAAAGAGGGCATGCCCACTATTATACTATGCGATAAATACGAAACAAAAAAATGGTCCGATAAAATAGAGAAGAGAGTTAGTTGACAAATAAATAACTAAACATTTTCAGGACATCTTCACATTCCACATTCTTACATAATTTTATCTAGTCCACAACTATAGCATAGCCTGTACTATGGGTACTAGATAACTGATAAACAAACTTAAAAATTTCATAATATGACAACCTTTTTGTAAATAAATAAATAATAGACAAATAAACACTCAGACACTAGAAAAACACTAAGTTCATCACACAATATCTTTCCAGTAGTGGGGATCGAACCCACACCCTCTGGCGCAGGAGACAGGTTAACTACCCCCTACACCAAGCGGTTTGTCAAGAAATGTCAGGGTGCTAAAGGGTATCAAAAAGGCATTTGTGAAAGGAGTTCCAAATAAGTGGGACATTTCGAACGTTTACTGAACATTAGTGATATGTGAAATTTGTTGGACGGTGTGATTTTTAAGGACGAGGCAAGTTGAGCGACATTTTCTATCTAAGTCTACCCGCGTGGACGTCAAATGAATATTTGTATGTATGAAGTTACGCTTATACACATTGCATGAGTGTGCGTTCATGAAACCCAAATATTAAGCTATAGGCAATAGTTTGGGCAAAGTCAACAAATTTCCTAACTTAGGAAATGTAATACACAAAAATGCAAGTTAAATGTTTAGAATGCGCATGTGATTTTTTTAATAGATTAATACAACATGTAAAACAATATCAGAGAAGGAAGGTCAGAGCGAAGGAGACATTCAGGGTTACAGATGATATGGTCTTTCGAAGGTAAACACAAAGTTTCTGTGAGTACATATATACACTATCATTTAGGCCAAACTGTAACTTTGTGTGGACATCCGTATTGAGACTCATGGTGACCTGATATCCGTTACGAACTCCTCACTGAAGTTGTGTCCGGAGCCAAACTCCGAGTTATCGCTTAACAAAAGGCCGAATAACAACTGTTTTTCACGACTGTTCACTGACTAAAAGTGGGAGTGAGAGAAAAAATATTTTGAACGCAGTGCGAATGGGAGAGCATTACCCCATACCTCGGACTGCTGTAAACTGCGGACGGCCTACACTAACATTAGAGGTGCATTATATAACGGGGGTAGGGTAGGTTATTGCCCTCTCGTTCGTGCTGTCGCCATAATCGCTCTCCATCTTTCTCACTACATACCGGCGCACGATAACGAAAATAATTATTTCGTGTCTATCGGAAAACACAATGTCTGCTCTCGACGGTACACGCGCTGGCTCTCAACAGCGCGAGGGAGCATGTACAGTTGCGAACAGATTTATTCCGAGTTCTAGCAGACTGCTCGATTACTGCTCTCGACGGTACACGTGGAGAGAGGCACTGGCGCGATTGGGTGCGTATAGTCGCCAACAGATTTATTCAGAGTTCAGACGCGGACGACTCGACTTCTGCTCTAGACGGTACCCGCGTCGACTCTCACCTGCGCGAGGGGGCGCGGCGGGCGCTGCTGCCGGTGGTGGGCGGCGAGGGGGCGCGCGTGCGTGCGCAGGGCTGGCACCGCGCGCCGCAGCAGCAAGCCGCGCGCGTGCGCCTGGAACCGTACCGCGGCAGCCCTGAGCCGCACGTACCAGCGGCGGACGCGCGCACCCCGGTACCACGCCTGCAGCCGAGTAGCCGCCTCGTGCCGTGCCGCTATCCACTGCCTGCGGGGAATGGGAGCGATCGGAAACGTTGAAAGGCGACGAAGCAATCTATATGGTCGCGTCTCTCGAGTCTGATAAAGTTCGGCGCAGCTATCTACGTGGTCAAGATTATCGAAGGCGGCATAACAAACGTACTTTAGGCAAAGGAAAAGTATAGGGATCGAGCACAATGCAGCGCAAAAAAAAAGCATATTTTTTTTGTAAACTGTGGACATAAGGATAGTGAAATGGTATGTATGTATGTCTGCAAAACGTGCTTATGCGTGTGCGTGTACATACTGTGTACGTGTATAGATACGATCCCTGACAACCATATTCCGAACGTCCAGTATCCTAGTCATATTACGCGTATATGCCAAACCAAATGTAATTTTTTTAGTTTTTGATTTTTTCACCTGAGAATAGGAATCAGATTTAATTCGTTCTGTTATGCTTTTATATATGTGTACCGGCAATATCCCTGTATGACTAGTGCCGCTCTCCGCAGGGCGAGGAAGCGCCGTCGCTCCAGCACTGCCCGATGCCAGCGCTGGATGGTGATGATCGAAGCCATGATTTGCTGGTGCAGCCGATACTCGAGTTTCCTCTGTTCGCTCTCCCGCATGAAGATCTTCGTAGCTCCTGTCAAGTATACCGTATGCATTTATTTATTTATTATTCACTGGCTCTGGCTACCTTCCACTCAACAGACGAAACGCAAAAGTATAACACTTCCAGTTCGCGCCGGTCTTCTGTGAGGTCGTTGGAGCCGGACAGAGCTGCTCATACGTGGAACAGTAAACTGTTATACGGTTTTCGGATATTGGGTTTTTAAAAAAGAAAGTTAACTTCACAAAATATATATTTCTTATTAAAAACACTTTTAAAATATAATGAATCAGAATAGAATTAGAATGTCGGCCAAGTGTTACCCCTTTGAATTCTTGTGACCGAACTAACTCTTCAATGCAAGGGGCTTCTAGTGCTTACAAATATGCTGACGACGTATGGATTAGGCAGCGGGCTTGGTAGTATATATAACAGAAAGAAAATATTAATGAATACATTAATGACAATAACCCCGGGGAATGAGTTGATCGGTCCCAAACCATTTCTAAAAGAAAAAACACTTGTATAACATTTTACTTTTGTTAGGAAAAGAAAAAGTTGAGAAAAAGAGGTTACCCACGGAGTTTCTTTCGCCTGTTTCTTCTCCGTTAGAGGAACCTCATTACGAGACGGTGGTAGATTAAAAAAAATGACTATCGATAAATGAAATGTATTCTTATCGACATGAGAATGAAATTCATCCACATGAATAAATGATTTTGATTTTCGAACGCTGCCGCGTGGTCGTACCGCGGCCGTGTGTGAACTGGAAACGGACTAACCGACTTGGTAGTTGTCCCTGTCCAGGTTGAGGGTGGCCAGGAAGTGCCTCACGTCCGTCTGCGAGCTGAGCAGCCCCTTGGGCAGCAGGATCCTGTACAGCTGGATGAACTCCTCGTAGGTGAGGCGCACGTTGTAGCCCGCCTGCCGAATGCGGACGGTCTCCAGCATGCCCGTGTAGCGCAGCTGCCGCTGAACGGTGTCCTCGTCGAAAACGTTCGCTATCTTGTCGCCGTTCGACTTTATGCACCTGCGGGGAGGGATTGAGTGCGTTCAGCGAGAGCGTGGAAGTTTCTAGAACTTTTTTGTTTTTTTTTTTATGTGAGGCCAGCGACCTAGTAGAACTATTTTAGTCTTGAGTTCGAAGAATTGCCCCTTACTGTAGGATAATATCCTGTGTTATATATTACACTAGCGGCCCGCCCCGGCTTCGCAAGGGTATAATGTACTATACATATAAACGTTCCTCTTGAATCACTCTATCTAGCATCAAGATCCGTTGAGTAGTTTTAAAGATTTAAGCGTACATAGGGACAGTCAGACAGCGGGACGATTTTGTTTTATACTATGTAGTGATACATAAATTTCACGTACACAAACACCCAGATCCGAAACAAATATCTGTGGGCTACCCAAATAGTTGTCTGATGTGGGAATTGAACCAACGATCCCCGGCGCCGAAGCCAATACCTTGGCAACTATGTAGTGATAGTGAAAGTAGCAAGCGAGCTTCTGGTTCACCATTAATATTTGCAACACCCGTAGAGTTCCAGATGCGTTGCCACCTTATAAAAAAGCGGCCCCGGCTACCTCACCCACCAGACGAAACTTAATTTGTTACAAATGCGTTGCTAACCACTACAAACCTTAGTTTTAACCAAACTCACTAGAAGAAATGACAAAATATAATACTATCTTCATGCTCTTCCGGGTAAGTACCACGCGGTTCTTCCCGGGCGTGTCTGGCCATTCGTACAAAATATAAAAAAATTGCCATTTAACTATCTCAACACCTGATGCGGCTACTAATAATAAATAAGTAAATTAGGACACATTTTTTTACCCAACGGTCTCTAGTACTACATTAAGTATCGCTTGTACTATAAGATCTAGATAACTGATAAACACATTTAAACATAAATAGGTATATAAACATAAATACATAAATACCAAGATTATTTATTGTATTTTTGGCGCAAGGGGCAGGTTCACTACACACTACGCCTATCGGGTCGTCAAATAGTTAGGTCGTCCTAATACATAATAAATTAAAAAAAACGGCCATTCAGTTGCCAACTATCTCCGCACCTGGCTCCAGGCTAGGCCTAGTGTGAGGACCACAAGTTACTTGTTTTTTCTATTGCTGCAGTCCAAATGTTCTGTTAATTTGATAATTAGAAATACTTATATTCAAATGTATATAGTTACTTTGGACTTAAATAAACTTTCTTATTATTATTACCTGATGAAGAACGGGTTCGCCTGATTGAGGGTCTCCATCAGAGCGGCGAGCGAGTGCTGGAACTGGGCCGCCACCGTCATCGGCTGCTTCCTCTTGCCGGCCGGCGCGGCGGTCCGCCCCGCCAGGGTCTTCACGCTCTGCAGATTCTTCAGGCCCTTCTTGGCGCGCTCCCTCGGCCTGAACGACTTGTTCTTCCTGCCGGGGCCAAGTTCACACTCGAGCGGTGAGAGTCACGCGGCACACCGTCCACCACCAAAAGCGCGTGTGTTACGTTTTTAACATGCGAAATTAATAAGAAGATAAATTTGAGTGCTGTTAACTGGCGTGTTAGTGTCGATACAAATGGTCCCCTTGATAAAAATGCTGCAAACGAAAACAAAAACTCGTACTAAAGCTGAACGCAACAGTTGTTTCGCGTCATCGACGCCGTTTTAAGCTGTTACTTTATTAAGCTGAAAAAGCTTTCATTGATACAGACAACAATGTAGGGCTTATATAATAGGAAATACTATTACATAAATAAAAACCAAGTTTACATTTATTTACTTAAAAATATAATAAAAAAATTGATATAAAATCAAAACATAACATCATATTAAGTTACGTTGTGATTTTAAATCAACGTAATACCGTAACAGAGTACCTTAGATAATATCCCAATAAATTACTACATAACATAATTAAGCAACCACCCCACGTAATAACAATGCATATCTAACAGACGACCCGTAAAAACAGCACCAGATTAACACACGAGTAACAAAAGAGGACCAAGGAAAATTAAACCAGAAAAAGCCATCACCAAAAATAGAAGGAGTGAAACCGCTACCATAAATGATTCATCAAACAAAATTAGATGACAAAAAAATAAACAATCAAATAAAAAAAAAGGAAATGATGTTAAATAATATAAATTTTAAGAACTTCTATTTAATGTTTCAATATTTTCATCCAACGATGTGTCATAAAAGTTTACTTTGTTACAATTTCAACGGACATGTTAAAATATTAGACATTTCATTGCCGTGATATCGTTAACTCCTACTGCGATTGATATTTAAATGAATTCAAAAATCGAACGCTTTGAGTTCGATACGCGGGAGGCGGGGGCGGCGGCACGCGCGCGCTCCTTTTGTTTGATGAAGACAGAGCGAGTGCGAGAGAGAGAGAGACAGAGCATATGTGGGGGGGCCGTGTGTCGGCGTCGCACGTACAGTACGATCTGGCTGGCGCGCTGCATCACGTCCGCGTCGTCGAACTCGCGCTCGACGCGGCGCGTCCTCGTCTCGGCGGTCCTGTAACTCTTGGCGCCCCTGCCGCCGGCGCGCGCCGCCTCCGCGCGCTGCCTACTGTCGCTGTTCGCGCGGGGGGGCGTGTCGCGCGCCTTCCCCGCCCTGTGCGGCGTCCTTCGCGATTCGCGACGGGGCACATTGGCGATAGTGGGTCGAACGTGAGGGGCAACAAAAAGATAAGAAACAACAAAAAAAAAACATAATCAGGGGGGGATAGAGGGTGATAGGGCGAGGGGGGAGGGGGTTTGATCCGAAATTGGTGCGGCTCGTGAGACGCATGCGCATGAAGGCCCCGAGTGTGTCTGTGTACACCTGCCGTTATTCGAATTAGGTGCGGCCAACAGAGGTTAAGAATGAGCGGTTGAAATGGCTGATAGCGAAGTTTCAAGACTGTGTTTAGACGGAGAGGATGCACTAGTCAACTGATATTACTTAAAACTATTTTCATTACAATGTGTGTGTTAAGACCACCAACAAGTTCTAATCACAGCCCTTTAAGGAGTAACAAATAGTGGTGTAACAAGTTGGTACAAAATTAAATAAACATCTACATGCGATAAGTGCACACAAGACTTAGAGGCATGCCGTAAACTTGGTGACTTACGCAATGCGGTTGATTGCAAGATTGATTGACGATACTGTCACCAGTTGGCTGAGCAACAAGACATATTATTACATCACACAACATTATTAGCAGAAGCTTAATAGATATATGATAGTGATAGACTACATTTTAAAATCATTTTTAATCAAATATCTTCGCAATACTTTTATTAGCTGTCTATGTTAATATTCAATGCAATATATTCTTTAACATTTATACAGACAATCGATCATGGAAGCAATTTTTTTCGTCTTGAGTTCAAAATTGCATAGTGTACATTCAACATCAAGAGAATATATGCTAAAAATTTAAAAGACTCACCTTATTATGTTATCATTGACTGATGGAATTGATGGCCGAGGTACTCTTGAAGCACCGTCCGCTCTGTGGACTCTATGTCTTCTGCCAGCTTCTAAGAAGGCAAAGTAGCCTCTACAACAAAAAAATATACTCATTTGACAATTGAAACAAAACATTAAACAGGTACTATATTATATTTCGTCAATACAAAGGTATATTTGTGTGATATAATACAATAAGGTTGATTTTGGTAATTTTTTAGGAAAAATAGAACATGCTATAATCTATGAGTAGATTGGTACCTGAAAAACGCACGAACTATCGCCCATCTGAACACTGCCACAGGGTCTACTCCGACTAATTCCCTCACAAAAGCCAATGATGAATTTTTCAGAACGCTCACAATGTCTTGTCGCATGAGATCAAGATTCTTCTCTCTCATTGCTGTCACCTGGAATGTGAAGAACATTATACTTTTTCAATACCTGTATTATTAAAAAAATAATTTAGTTTATATTTTGTAAACAAATTACAAATCATTTCCTAGCCAGATTTACGATTTACAAGCTATAGGGTACCCCTATAAAGGAAGCCATGAATAATAAAATTAAACATAAATCCAAACTGACCACGACTGCAAGATCTTAAGATACATTAAGGAATATTGACAAAGATTAAAATTTGTAGAAAAAGTACGAAAAGATTGTCGCCGCTGTGGGAATCGAACCCACGTCTTCGGCATTCGCGGCCTGACGCTTTAGCCGCTAAGCTAAACGGCTGATTGCCACGCCGACGAAAATCTAAACGTCTTTTATCTACATTGTTTCTAAGCATTTGAAGCAATGCTTGGCGCATCCATTGTTATATCCTTTCCAGCATACAAACAATTTCGAATATCGTTTTACAATGATAACAGTCCTTTTTATTAATATATTCTACACCACTGATATTAATGTCATTAAGATTTGTTCATTTATTATATCTATTTTTTTTTATTATAATTTCACGTTTAGAGGATTTTTTTCAATCGAGAAAATATATCGAGAACATGTTTTGAAAACAATGGTCCATTAGAATGTAAGATCAAGATTAAAATATATTTTTTTTGATTCTATAAAATTATACGTTTTTTTTTCAATTATGATTTTGTTAAAATACTTTTTGAAAAACCTATTTTTACTTACCTTAATTACATTTTAATATTGTCAATTACCATAAAATATGAAACATTAATGATTACATATTATAAAAAGAAAGCCATAGTACAAGCTTTGCTTAGTTTGGGACTAGACAAAAGTTATGTAAGAATATGTCCCAAAATATTTATTTTATTTTGAATGCCACTGAAATAATTATGACAACTGTTGAAGATGTCGAAAAATCATGCCACGTAGACAAATCTCAACGAGCAAGCGGATTTTTACGCTTTTTCTTTTATGCTCTATTACCTATACCATACCCGAGAGGGTTGCCAGTATTAACATAAACATAAATATTTTTTTGTTGGTACCTGATATTTCACTCTGCCGGCATAGTGCCTGACAACAAACGCCGGCTCTCTCCTCTGGGGCTTTTCGTAAAACGGGTTCTCTTCATGTACCGAGCTAAACTTTTGTAATAGTGTTTCATTTGTAGCCCATGGGAAGCTAAAAAAATTGATATAATATAATGTATAAACAAAACTACCCAATATTAGAATGAATGGAAGAGCCAGAGTGGCCTGAAATCAATGTGGTCTCAAAACATATTATGGTGTGCTGTGCTTCTGCAGTTGGATGAATGAGCCAGCTTGTGCAAAAAAGTACCCAAGCCTAAAAAAAATGTATTCATACATTTGCATTTCATCTTCTGGAGTTTGGTAATGCAACAACAGCCCATGGATCTCAATAGGAAATTATTGCATTGCTTAAATTTGCTTTTTTGTCACCTCCTCTCATAAAGAAATGCATGTGACACAAGTCCCATATTAATCAATGGAAATATAAAGTCTAATGCCAATACATGCCAACCGGCAGCACACTTGCTTCTTACACAAAAAAAGAAGCAAAGCTCACTTGCACTGGTCGTCCAAGACGCACAGTAAACCGCTCGGTTTCCCCTCAATGAGTTGCAGACAGCCCGTGTTGTCTGAGAAGCCAATATCCGTCCACCGTATGCCCTCGCGCCTGTACTCCTCCTGCTCATACTTGAACACATGCTGGTTGAAATAGTACTGTAGGTGCTCGTTCGCGTAGTTGATGCACAACTGCTCAAAACTATTGTTCGGACCGAAGTCCTCGAAACCGAATATGTCCAGAACGCCTGAAACAAACAAATTGCCACTGAACAACATAAATTCAGGATAGAATGTCACCCTCTAATTTCTCTCAACACATTTGTTTTCTTTATTGAAAACGAGCCAGCGGTTGACCTGGTGATTAGTGGTTATCTATGGACAATACCCGTGATACCTCACCAGGCGAAATGCAAAATTATAAATACTTTCTTTCAAGTGGTTTTTTGTGAATAAATGCAAGCAGCTGTTGTGCAAGCTTTGAAACAGCTGCAGCTGTTACAAAGAAGATTATACATAAAACTGGCCTAGTGCGAGTCGGACTCGCGCCCGAAGATTTCCTTACCATTATCTATAAAGGCCCATTTACACGATGCCATTTTCTTGTACATACAAGAGCAATAATTGAATGCAATAAATTGCGCGCAATAATTGACCATCAAGAATTGTAAGCAACAGTTTACACGCAGATATAGTAAAAAAAAATTGAATGCGATTATTGTATGCAAGTCTTGACAAGAAATAATTGCAAATGTCTTTTGTTTACACCAATGCAATTATGTTTAGGCGATTATTGCTTTCAAGTTTTGACTTGTCTAAACACATGCTTGTATGTGCGTGTACAATTTATTGGCGTGTTGCTTCAAGTATTGCACGTATTTGCGTTGACAAATATTTCATTCAAGTGTTGAGCGTTTTGAAAAGGGCTGTTTATTTAAAAAAAAATGGTTCTATAATAAGTGTTCAAGTTAGATTATGCCGATTTAATATATTTCATTGAGATTTATTTATTATTATCCATATATTACTATTAATTTTTTTGTCTAACTTTTTTACAACCTTTTCTCAATATTTCTTGCTTCAAAAGAACAGCAACGATTAAACACCCTCACTCATCGCACTCATGTTTGCAAAGGAAGAGAGAATGCAATTGAATACAAGAATTGCTTAAGAAATTATTGTGTCTACTGTTTACACCAAGGAAAGTTTTGAAACAAAACTTGAAGCAAGTCTTGTTCAACAGTCAAGAATGTTATGTGCTGTTTAGACAATGCAACTCATTTATTGCTTCAATTTAATTGTATATAATAGGCAAGAAACTTGCACCATGAAAATGAGCCTTTAAAACGGCAAAAAAATTAAGGCTGTTTGTGGGAGCCCCACTTAAATATGCTTTCATTCCGTTTTTTAGCATTTTTTGTTATAGCGGCAACAGAAATACATCATCTGTGAAAACTTCAACTGTCTAACTATTACAGTTCATGAGACACAGCCTGGTGACAGATGGACAGACAGACAGACAGCCGAGTGTTAGTAATCGCGTTTGACCCTTTAGATACGGAACTCTAAAAAAAAGATATACAGAAAAATATAGTAATAATAAACATATTCATAGTCATTACGCACCTATACTATGTCCTTGATGTTCTCGTAGCGTGTCCTTTTTGGAGAGTAGAGCATGATTGACCTGCATTACTATCCAGTCGAAAAGAGCACCATACAGACACTTAGCCATTGCATCCCTAGTAGCTATTGCTTCTGGCAATCTGTAAATGTTAATTATTGACATTAAATTTCTACTTAGACACAAAAGTGGTAGATGGTTAGAATACTTATTTCCCTTTCATAATGAATGTTATATAATATTTTATGTGTTATAATTATTGTGAAAAGCTAGAAGAAGAAAAAATTATAAAATCATTTAAATAAAACTAAATAACTGATACACAGCTATTAAAAAAAAGATCCTCAGTATGATTGTGATGCAATAATACCTGTAATTGATGACGAGAGTTTCACCAGACGCCCTGGCCCGCTTTGAAGTGAGTGCTGCAAGCAGTGTCTCTTGTTTGACCCGCAACAGTGAAGATATGAGGGAAACAACTTCTGGATTTCGCACACCGACAGCCTCGTCGTGATGATATGATTTTCGTTGAGGTTGGAACTCGACATTGCCTGTACATATATTAGACAATCTTTATTGTAAAACTGAATCAGCAAAACAAGTTTGTATTAGGTCATTATATGAATAAAATGCATGTAGTCTTTACCATTCTAAAATCATTATGAATTATTAAAAAGAGAAAAGCCATTAATTAACACAGGCATTAACTTCTACATTAAGGATATTTAAGCTTCCTAGTGTTAGCAAGCAAGAAATATAAAATTCAAAGTTTAATTTCAATAGATAAAGTGGTCACCAAAAGTAGAGAATATTGATAAAGCATGTTGAAACTTGACTAAAAAGGTTTGAGAAAAAAATATTTAATTGCTTTGACTACAAGTTTATGTAGCTTGGTTAGTTGTTGCTCAAATACATTATAAATAGAATCACACTTAATGGGAGTATAGACAAAATAAAATGAAAAATACAAAATATTAACATTTATTTTAATTATGGTCTATTAGTGTATATCGGTGCGTATATTATTTAGGTACAGTATGTCTATACTTATAATAAAACATATCCATTTATTGTTTGAAAGTTCATTAAACTGGGTGACATATTTTGAATTTATCACTAGGTGACTCGTTCAAGATAAGAAGTTTTGGCCAGTTAATGCTATTGAGGACATAATAGTTTAAGATAATAATACTCCCAGCACATACACAAACAATCTATTTATATAATTTAGAAACAAATTAGGCTCTAATATGCACATATAATATGAAAGTAAAAGAAGCTTACCTAAAAGCAGTACGGCTGACAAGACTGCAAACAACCTGCGTTGCTTGTCCAAAGTGAAGCCCACCATGTCCATGGACTGTTTTAACCTCGAAAACTCATATTGTTCATCAACACCAGGCACTACACTACAACCAGTCTTTGAAAGATAATTGTACTTGTCTACACTGAGTAAATGCAACTGTTCCCGCTCTTGCTCTGATGCACCAGCCAACAAGTAGTAGAACACATGGTAGTTCCTCTCATTACGACCCTGACTACATATTCTGGACTTCTCCAGTAGATATTTTTGTACAACTGCACCATGAACCATTCCATTTTCCTTATAATTAACTTGAATGAATTTGCCAAAACGGCTGGAATTGTTATTATGTGGTGTCTTTGCATTACCAAATGCCTCTAGTACTGGTCCTGCACTTAAAATAGTTTGTTCAACTCCGCTACCATGTGATCCTTTTTGGCTCAAAGCAGTAAGATGATGAAGAAGAAAATTTGTACTTTCAGTCTTCCCTGATCCACTTTCGCCACTGATCACTATACACTGATTTGTCCTCTCACGTAACATAGTATGATATGCCGCATCAGCAACTGCAAATATATGTGGTGGAAGGCTTGATCCTATTCGCTTGTTCTGGTACAGCTTCACATATTTGGGATTATATATTGGATATAGCTTAAATGGATTAACAGCTATTAAAATGGATCCCACATATGTATAAATGTATCCAGCTGCAAATCTGGCTCTCAAGTTATCAAGCAATGTTTGTTCGTTTAGTTCAGGCAGCTGACACAAATCAGGATATTCTCGGTCCTTCGGTTGATACAGGAACCTTTGGAAGTAATCTTTTATCAGCTGTGGATCGACCGAAAACTTCTCCATCCATGGTTCGTCTGGTATTTTCTCACGGAGATAGAACCTGCCAACAAAATATTTTTTTAGCAAAATACACATAAATATAAAGCACCAATTATTTAAAATAATTACATGAAGATTTGTGTAAAGATGTGGTTTAAAGAATTTAGTTTTGGACATTAGATTTATATATTTCAGATTTTATATTTTATATATTTCAGACTTCTAACAATTACAAGTAGTGTACTTTTAAATTAATTGGCAGGATGGTTGTTATCATGGCATACTGTGTGGACAGGAAGAATGATTCATGCGATCAAGCACTGTCAACCAAAACACTGTTTTAGGTTTTTACTACACCCATAAATGTAATTATCCATACAGTAGTTAACAACCAAGTTGTTATTATATAATTATTCAAAACACATAAGGAAACTGATGCCAATTTCCATAGTTAGGAGAGGTAAATGATTTCATGAATCATAGCAAGTGCATAAAAGGTAATGTTATATATAAATAGTATAGCATAACAGTGATCTAGCATCTAAATACTTGGAGATAACACAGGTACATGTAAAATACAATAACATGTATATACAATTATAAGTATCTTGTATACATATACAGTTATGCTTGAATAAACTTAAACCTAATACTATATATTATAATACATAAGTTATTCACCCTGCTATATCTTTTTAATAGCAAGGTGAATTACTTATGACATTTTTTTCTATATTGAATTAAAATATACATAATGGCTCTTTGACATTTAATTTTCAAAATAAAAGAAAAATCAAATACAATAAAATTAACAAATTGCCGGTGATATTTATTGAAGTAGTCAATGATATTTATTGGAATCAAATTTTAGAGATTTTCAATAATCATAAAAGTCAAGTCAAGTCTGAGTTAATTTAACTAAACTACCACCACACAGTTCTCATTATCCTGACTCAAATCATAAATATATCAAAGTAAATACCTGTAGTACTGGTCAGTGTTGTTATTCGGCCAGAGCAGCATGACTGCAACTGGAGACTCATTGGGACCAAGTCGCCTCTCCTTACATTCTCCACTCACAGTGTCTCCAACAACCTAAACATTTTTTTTTAAAATCAGTACATGTAATCCATTATAAAAAAAGATACATTTATTTATTAGAGTGACTTGAATTAATAAATGAACTATAAAAAAAATATGTAAAATTATAACCTTCTATAATTTAAAGAATATGAATACATACTAACTGATGACACATGAACACACAGCATATTAATGTCACATAGACCTAGATAAAGGAAAAAGTGAACAAGCCTGCTGACTAATCTCATTGTTTTTAATGTTTGCCAAAAACCAAATCAAAAATTATGTTTGTTAATTGTTGTAACATGTTTCTTAGTTAGGGCATTAAAGTACAGAAATAAAAAAAAAAATATTTTTCATTGCTTTTAGGTTTATAGTTTTTAATTTAATAATTCTTAATGGTAATAAATAAAAGTGATAAAGTATAATATCATTAAAAATTTAAAGTGGTATGTGCTCACTATCACAACTCAAACAATGGGTAAAAATAAAAATCAAAGAGAAGGGTAAGTTGCCGTCCATTCATCAACAAATTTTTCTTTGAACAAAAATAGGTTAAAATAGTAAAACAAACATGTGGCATAAAGATATTTTGAATCATACAGTATAAAATAAAATTATTGATAGGTTCCATAGTGTACACATTTATTTACTTTACTATTTTATTTTTTAATTCTGATATAACTTATTATTCCCCCTCTTACTTTTCATATTCCAAGACATTAATATTATTTTTAACTGAAAGTAACATTTTTTATTAGAAACAGTAATCAACTGTAAAGATTTAAGTAAAATATGTAATATGATAATAATATGTAATTTTGATAGATGAAATTAGTTATAGCAAGAAAATAGGCTTGATAAAAATTTGTTTTTAAAAAATTGTTATATCAGCTCAAATACTTAGACAAAACAATTAAATTGCTATTGTTAAACATTTATTTAAGAATATCAATTTGAAACAAAATAATTTTTAACACACCTCAGCGAGTTCATATGGTCCACCAGATCCATCAGTTAAATTGAGCTTATCCGCAATACAGCATACTATTTCCTCAGAGCTTGTCTGCTTTGAGGCTTCCACTGATAGAGCCTCATATTGTGCAGACAACGCTCCCACAAACACCTGCAGGAATTGCAAATATTTTATTAAAACTGTTGCCAATTGAATAGTTTTAAAAAGTATAAGTTTAATCAAAAATTGACTATATGAATACAAAAAGAAATATGTCTAATATGCACACTTAGAACTTGGTGTAACACATTATGTTTTAGTATGTGATATAGAAATTTTTTAATAGTCTGAAAATACTGGTATATTATGTTTTTACAAAAGTATACAAGAATAATCTATACATACCTGAACAATATATCTGTGATTTTCAGCATGAGCCATCCTGCACCATTTTTCTATTCCCGTTCATTAAAATTGTCGCACTGACGACTCAATGCCTTTCTTTAAAGTGGTAATTCCTTCCAGTCCTTTACATCCATTATTTATTTGTGTAGGCATTTCGTACAGATTGTACTTACACAATTATTTTCGTCAAATACTAAATTTCTATAAACTGTATCAAAATAAAGCTGACCTCCAGTAGGACTTGCGGGTTGTATTCTTCCGTGATGGCATTACAAAATGTCATGTCTGTTGATAAATCCTTATTGCAGCAGCTTATTTTTCTGCACTTGTCTATTGATATACGCAACTCTCCCTTTAAAATTTGTAGTAAAAAACCGAAGAGAAATCTCAGATGTGGGTCACATGCTGAACTTAGAAGTCAAAACACGGATAAATTAATGCACTCAAACACAATTATGTTATTTTATTGTGAATATATGCACGATATTGAATATTTACGTTGTTACATGAGAAAAATCTGCACTTACTTAAAAAAAACAACACTTCCGATTATCATACAGGATTATAGTGACTTCGGTGTCTCCAACAACCTGTTATTTGTCATATACAACTCTCGCTTACGCACCACGTAATCGCACCGTATACAAATTTGAGATATTAAGCTCTCCGCAAATGTTTATTACTATTTACACGAGTATATTAATATCAGCAGTCTATTTCAATTAATAATTTGTTTTATAGAAATTGAACCACCATTTTTATTTGTATGTTGAGTTGAATCGTGTATCTATAGGAAGAATAGATAATTTGAGAATACATAAAATTGTTAACAAAAGCACATTCATGAGGATCCTCTTTAAGTTGATAGGATTATACCATACCACAGATGAAATAATTATACGAAATAATAGACAATATATATTAAATGAAGGATAACTTTTAATATTGGTATAAAAAAGCTAAATTGTTAACCTATGTTTATTGCTTTTCAACCAAAATTATTTGAGATTTTTGAAGTTGAGTAATACGCCTTACTTTATAATTTTTTTCAGACCCGTTTAATGAATTTGAGTGAAGCGTGGCAAAAAATGTTATCACTTAATAAAACTAAGTTATTCTTCATACATCATTACAAATTTAGCTTGGACGAACTTAGGCGGGGCATAAGGCATTTAAGTTTTGTGATTACTTTCAATGAAGGATTTACAGCATATGACACACTCACATTTATCTCTCTAAATTATGGCAGACTAGTCTGTTGCAAGCATGGGCGCCAGCAATAAAGGGCACGGGGGTGCAGTTGCACCTCTCTTTCAGAAAGGATATACGGCCTTAAATAACGTTGGTGACGTGGTAAAGTGGTTACAATGGACCAACTTCATCATGTCAACCAATAACAACTTTTTGACATTTACCTATAATTCAAAGTTATTTAATTATTATGACTTTTCATTTAATTTTATATCTTTTTCACAAATAAAGAGTGAAACTGGCACAGGGAATAATTTTTTAAATATTTTTGTTACGGTAAAGACGTATACGTTCTTGCGTGCGTCCATAACGTACGAAACATGTAGGTTTCGTACGTTATGGACGCACGACCTCACAGAAGACCGGCACAATTCAGCACCAAAGCAATGCCTTAAACGAAAAATGACCCCTAGAAACGTGATGGTCACCGTTTGGTGATCCAGTGCTGGTGTGATTCATGACAGCTTTTTACAAAACGGCAAGAAAATTACTGCAGTACTATACTGTGAAGAACTGAAGACAATGATGGAAAAGCTCGGCCAGCTTTAGTCAATCGGTCGTCCCCGCTGTTCCATCACGACAACGCGTGGCCTCATACTGTATAACTGACAGTCTCTAAGCTGCAAAAGTTGGGGTTGGATGCTCTCCCTCATACGCCATGCTCACCAGACCTTGCACTTACCCACTATTACTTTTTCTAAAATTTGAACAACTTTTTAGCGGGAAAAAAATTCATTGCCTTAGGGGCAGTACCTATAAAATGCCTTTGAAGTGTTTGTTGCCTCCCGTCCAGCTGATTTTTACAAGAAGGGCATCAATAAACTACCACTGCGTTGGCAAAGATGCATGGATTGTATGGGTGATTACTTTGAAAAACAGAAATAAAAAAGTTTGAAAAAAATATAATTAAATATACAAAACTGCATTTCATTGCAAAAGACCTAATACCTATGATAGACGCTTACAAAATCACCGAAATGTTCAAACACAGTGACAATACAATACATTCATACGTTTCTTTCATCATAACTTTCTCACACATGTCGAATGGTATAAAAGGATAGCGTAATAAAAGGTAAAGCAATAAGAAAAAAGATGACGGCAAGTGTTTGTCGATTTAGCGTAAGCGTGAACAAATTAAATTTAGGACAGTGCTAAACAACAACAGTGCGTGAATTTATACAAAGGTAAAGTAACTGTATTTTCATTACATGATCTAAGATCCCTTGATTTTTTTTAACTTTTGAGTCCTACTTGGTTCGTTAAAGAATCGATGGCATTTTTTTTTACAGTGATAAAGCCACGCATCGGCGTTTGCTGATATTGAATTGGGCCGATTCAAACCGGGGAAGTACAACGGCCTCGCAGAAGATCGGCGTAAAGTAAAAGTATTTATAATTTTCCATTACGTAGGGTGAGTCAGATTGCCGGCTTCCTCCCCCTCCGGCAAAATTCTGCTCTCCGTTCCCTCTGTTCGAGGCAAGTTCAGTAAGCACACTACGGCAACCCCTGCCACTGTAATATTAAGGAACTTCACTCCAACGTCAATGCCGTCCACTACTACCTAGAGACGGCAAAGCCGGCCTTGCTAATTCTTACTGAGACTCTGATATCTTTTCCGACACATCCTACCTTTCTTACCCGGAGTACAGATTGGAAAACTCCTTTGTGCCCCGAGCCGGAGTTCGTGTGTATGTGAAAGAGGATATGTTTTCTCGTCATTTCAGCAGTCTTAGAATGGTAAAGTATGGACCTGTCCATCATGTGGCTACGTGTAGATAGCGACAACCATCCTCGCGTTTATGCGTGCCTATATAGGTTCCATAGCAGTAATACCGAAACAGACTCTGTGGCGCAGTTGCCAAGGTATTGGCTTCGGCGTCGAGGTTCGTGGGTTCGATTCCCACACGGGAACACTATTTGTGTGACCCACAGATAGTTGTTTTGTATCTGGGTGTTTGTCCGCGTGAGATTTATGTTTGTAAAACGTCCCTACAACACAGGATAATGTTATCCTAAAGTAAAGGCAATGTTTTTCAAAAAAGACAAATAAAAAAATAGAAAAAATAGACCGATTGATCAACCACGTTCAAATGAGTACAGATTATATGCTCCAACAGGTCCCAATCGCAAAGATCGTGATCCTTGGTGATTTTAAGATCCATCACGTTGTCTGTCTTGGTTCACATACTACCGATTATGAGAGGAGGTCTGTACACGAATTTTTCATAGTAAGTGATTTGACTGATACAGCTGGTCACTATGCCTCTCCGGATCACAGATGTGTTAAATCACTTACCCTATTTTTTTTTAATGTCGAAAAGTGGCAAACGAGCTGGCGGTTCACCTGATGTGTAAATCCGCCGCCCATGGACATTTGCAACCGCCGTAGGGATGCAAATACGTTGCCATCTATAAATAAATGTGGGCCCCGTGACCTTGATCTGTTGGACCTTATAATAAATTTAATATAACGTGCAAAAACTGATGTACTTCTATATGGGGAAGCGTTAGAGCCTATGACTCGACTGTATCCCTTCGGCATAACTGTAGATGACAAACTGCAATTGGGTCCCCATATTAATAAGCTAGCAAGTAGATTTGGCTCAGCAGCTTTCGCGGTTAAGAAAATAAGTCAGTTGACTGATGTGGCTCGTTTAGTGAATTTTAGTTCATCATAATATAATGTCTTATGGCATTCTACTTTGGAGAAACGCGGCCGACATAAACACTGCCTTTATCCTCCAAAGAGAAAATTCGAGCCGTTTAAACCTAGGTTCCAAAGAATCGCTAAGAAACTTGTTTAGAGAAATAAAAAATTGAAAATGTACTGAATTTTCAATTCAATTTCATTCCTAGAAAACAAAAAATGAATTTTTAAGATTTTGTAAATCTTTTTATGGGACAATGTATACGGTTTTGCAACTATGTAAAAAAATATCTCAGAAAATGTTCAAAATGAATCTATTGCTAAAGTCACAAAACTTGTAAAGAAACTTTTTTGTGCTAGAGGCTATTATATATTATAGCATTAGTGATTATTTAAATGATATCACACTGAAAATGAATTGATCGCTCCAGGCTCTTTCAAGTGGAATTTGAATATATTGTATACATGTTTGTCATATTTGTCATATTTGTCATATTATGTTTAAAAATAATTGTCCCACTGAGTTTCTTTCGCCGGTTCTTCTCAGTGGCTTTGTTTACGAACCGGTAGTATTTTTTTTACAATCAATAAGTGTGTAATAATTCTATATTGAATAAAGATATTTGAATTTGAATATTTGCAACATTCATTGCTATGCGGATGACCTATCCAAACTAATTACTTTCAAAAATGGCAAATAGATATTGCCATTTTTGAAAGTAGGTATCTAATAATTTGCCATTCAGCCGAATAGCATAAGAGTAAGTTTGTGCAAAGCTTCGTTCTGTTCCTCATTGAACCTTTGCGAGATTTTATCATAACATACATACCAACAAACATATACGTAAACTTAAAAAGGCTTGTAAAAGACGAATTTATTAACAAAATTACATTCTATATTTACCAAGATCAAATTAAGTATTTTACATTACGTGCCAAAAAGATATATTGTCAAAAAAAATTTTATTGTTAAATTTCATAAAATGATTGACTTCGTTAGCAAATACCAGTTTGAGTAATAAGGTACAAGAGAACAAACAAAATCTTTTAAGTAACGACGTGTTCAGCTATAAAGAATTTTATCTCAGTGAATTAATGGTATTTGCCTAAATAGAGTACATATAGAGTTAGGAACAACGCTACGTTTGGCAGAAAAAATGTGATGACAACATTTTTAGCTAACACTTTTTGCGAAAAACATCTGATGTGTAGCATCTGATGTGTTAGTGTAATAAAATGGTATTTTAAATAATTACAGTTACAATTCCTTTTAAGTAAACTAGAATTTAATGAAAATACGTAAACAATATAAAACACGCACAAAATCAACTTAGCAAATACTAAATGTGGTAGCGTCGCGCCCGCGCGGTATAGCACTTCACACTTTACTAATTAACAAGCAGCACATTTTGAGTATTGCAATTTGTATAAAGTTCACAACAAGCGTCTGGTTCTGTAGGGTTGAGTTGTAGGAGGTCGCTTGGCGAGCGCGGCGGCGGCGCGACGGGCGTGCACGCGGCCGTGCTTGGCAAGGTGGTCAGATCGCGCGAACCGTTTGCCGCATTCACTGCACCGGTACGGCTTGTCGCCCGAGTGGCTGCGGCGGTGGCGCGCCAGCTCGTCGGAGCGCGCGAACCTCCAGCTGCACCCGCCCCAAGTGCACTTGTACGGCTTCTCCCCGCTGTGCCGCCTCAAGTGCGCCCGCACGTGTGACGCCTTCGCGTACAGCTTCCCGCATTCGCCGACTGGACAACGGAACGCCCCCAGGTCGGGGCAGAACGCCGGCTCACCCCACGAAGGCGCCTTCGCTTCCGCCATCATCGCATTTCTCTCGATGCACTCCGACTCACTGGCACTGTTTGTAGCGTTCGCGGTGACTGTCGGACTTTCCGCGCACATTGATTGCAAGTCAATGCCAAGGACAGAGAGCCTTCCAAGAGCTGCACCGTCATAGCTGTCAACGGAATCGCTCCCCGACTGACCGACGTCTCCGGATCGATCGGAGCTTAGTGCCTCTAGTAAGTAGTCATCGAAATTTACATTCTTATCCAAATCTGCAAAGTCGAAGAGAACTAGAGAACTGTCCTCGGATTCATCGCAAGTCCTATCACTGACACTACCGAGAAAGGCATCACAATGAAAGTCCAAATCACCAAGTTGCAAACTGTCTATTTCTGTCTCCAAAGTAGTTGGTAACTCGAAGTTTATCAAACTTTCGGCCGGCGAGTACTCGAACAGTAGTTGTTCATTCAGCAAATCGTTTTCCAACGCAGAATTTGAATTCTCACGATGCATCTTGAATGCGTTTGTTCTACGTGATGAGTTTTCATTCGGGAACGTTCTTTCGGAAGTGCGTGATGAGTTAACTTCACTCTTGGTGCCAACTTCGCAACCCGTGTGTATGAAACAGGCTGTATGTAACGCGGCGTGCATTAAAAAGTTGCGCGTGCGACGCGTTTGCCGCGGCTTCGGCGAGTGCGGCAAACGCCGGCTCCAGCGCCGGCTCCAGCGCCGGACACCGCGACGGACGCGCGATAAGACCGATCGCCGATTATCGACGAGCAAGCGAGCGCACTGGCTCTTTCAGGATATGTCAACAAACATATTACCGTTGCTCTACAAGCAATTATATTCTAACCAACCTAGCCGTCTCGGTAATAAAACAAAGTATCACTTTTTACCTCTTAATAAGTCAGTTAACCATAATCATTGTTTTGAATGCAACCACTTTGTTATTGTTTCGGTACGTTCAACATATTGCGCATTAAAACGATAAAAAAATACAAATATCAATTATGACTGTGTTTATTGAACATAACGCCGGTAGGATCATTCACTTTCTTCGTTCTTATCACTTGTTTGCCCGACCAAACGTGCAGTTCCTTTACCTATGTTGAGTACAATGTAGCTCAGTGCGTCTCTTAGTAATACGTACGGTCTATATGAAAAATCTTATATACATCTACCGTTCAATCGCTCAATTGACGCAACAGCTAAGCAATAGGCCGTGGCGCTGCGGGTCGTGGATTCGATTTTGGCACTAGGCGTTTGTTCATGTGATATTGGTGAATGTTAAACGTCCTCATATTAGAGTATAATGTCATCATACGAAAGTCAATAATGTTACTCATCAGTAATATAACTTAAATATTTTAGGCACGATTTCGCGTGTTTATATGCTTGTTTGATATCACATTATTTTATATGTATATAGTGTAATGCGTAGTGCAACAGCATTTTGGCATGCATGCAATGTTCATTTTACGATAAAAATATAATTATATGATAACATTAGCAATTACTGTATGTAAACAAGAAAATTTTAATACCGTTGAGATGCGTCACAAGCTCAGAGACACCAGTAATTTATTACGGACGTCGAAGGTACACATATATTTTTTGAGTTTATTTAGCACTTATATTACCACTTTGTAGGAAATCTGTGATTTAGAGTCATTTTGCAAAAACGAATCAAATAAAAAGAAACACCCATTTCCAGAACAATTCTCTGCAAGCCAAACAAATACTTGCCCCGGGTGGGTATCGAACCCACGATCCTTGTAGCTGCAGAATATTCATTTTCAACTGCCCCAACACAGTCATAAAATGGAAAGGTAAGTTAGAAAGTAATAAGTAAGTAAAATAGAAAGGTAATTTACGTAAAGCCTAATTTCATTGCGGTATACCAGCTAGACAGTTATGATGCAGGTGGAATCGATGATTTATTTTTTTGGGTTTAAATAATATCAAAAATATGTTAATGGTGGTGGTAATAGTGACAATTAAATCGTATCCAATGAATCATTTTTGGGTAAAACACAATTTTTATCATATATCCGTTTCCATAATTGTATATGTTCTTGAATATTTTATGCACATGATCATATTTATCTGTTTGCTTGACTTCCGGCTTAGGTCGATATGATTAATACAACTAACGGCCGGTTTCAATGTTCTATATATGTATAAGATATTTCCACCGATAATTGACTCATCACGATATCTCTGGAACCATAAGGCGTAGAGACTTGAAATTTGGTAGGGATATTCCTATCGCCGAGTAGAGGTCAGCTAAGAAATTTTATGAAATTCCACAAAACAACGTTTGCCGGATCATCTAGTCCATACTATTATAAATGCAAAAGTAACTCTGTCTCTCTGTCTGGCTTTCACGCCAAAACTACTGAACCGATTTAAATGAAATTTGGTACACAGATAGTCTAGAGCCTGAGAAAGGACATAGGCTATTTTTTAATTGGAAAAAGTGTTGTAAAGAGTTGAAAGGTTATAGAAAGATATTTATTTAAGGGCTTCAACGCGAGCGAAGCTGTGGGCGAAAAACTAGTATTCTATATATCCGTAGATTTGGTTTCTAGCAATAGGTAAGCTCTATAATACTTACGTCAGAAATCATCTATCACCAGTAACCAAGCCTATAGATAGATGGAGTATTGAAACCACCCGTTATATTTACGTATTAACGCAGCCGAAGAGTGAAGACGTGATAAGTGCGAATCTAAGCTATACGTTAAAAAAAAGTTCTACACTTTCATTTCTTTTGCACATGTTCATCAAACACCTGAAAAATCCTCATCTAGTTTAAAATAAATTCATCGCCACCGCAACCGGCGATAGGTTGTTCAAAGAAACGCCAACCAACCGAATCCTAAAGCGACCGTTCGGAAAAGTCCTCATCGCTTCGGTTAATGAAGAGGAAGAAAGTATTCTGGATCCGCTGGGATCCCGTGCAACGGAACAACACCATGTAGTAGAGGAGGCCTAAACAGGCCATAGTCGCGCCGGTTTCGCCGTAGATTGCGTCCACGTGTTCCCGTGTTCCCGGCCGATGCGACAGAGACAGGTGCAGCGTGGGTTTTTAGTGGGTACCCGTTTCTCACCGGGACTCCCACATGCCCCTGCCACTACCCCGGTCCAGTGGCAGGGGATCCATAAAGGATTTTTTCCACGATTAAAAAAAAGGGGGGTTCAACCCGACAATTCTAAAGATATAGTATTAGCACACACAATCTTCGCCAGCGAGCACGGCAGAACTAAAACAGCGCGTACCAACGACACACCCGTGATTCAGGGTGGTTCTCACCGCCTCCAGACAGTTGAGAGCTGTCAAGGTCGCGGTCTGTAATCTGTAAGACCGTACCGAACTTCGATGGTTTGCAAGTTACAATTTCTCCCCTAATAGACAACCCACGAGCTCTGACTTCAGTGAAGCTATAATAGTCTACGAAAATTAAAAATTCAAATGTCATTATTTATGTTTTGTAATTTTTTTTGTCAAAGTTGCCAAGCGAGCAGGCGGTTCACCTGATGTTAAGTGAATACCGCCGCCCAAGAGTTGGAGATGCGTTGACAATCTTTTGAAAATTCCCATTCGTGCAACTGCTCATTTTTTTGTTGTAGATTTTAGAGATTTATGAAACCTGAGTTCGGTCCCCAGTGCCAGCGTCAATAAAATTTAAGTGCTGACTTATAACGTGAGGAAACCTGCATATTTCCGAAATAATTACAAACACAAAATATAACACAATGGGAAATAATGGGGTAAGATTTTCACGTAGGTCCTGAGCATCGTTTACAATATAGGATTTTAATTCAAACTGGGTTCCATTCCACTTTTATATAATTTTGAAAGTTGTAACCGCTATAAATTACAGCAGTATAGTTTCTAATGTAGACGCCCAAATATGGGACACTACGTATAGTTATTTAAAAAGCTCTAAGGAATGTGAATTTTTTTTAAAGTGGCAATTTTAAATGTTACTTTGTACAGGGGAAGGGTCACGCAGCTTCTAGAATGGTCAGGCTATAATTGTCCGGCGTACCACGGCCTCATACATATCGTCTACTCTTTGAAGTTCCCGTAACTGCGTCTTTTAAAGTTAACCAAACTTAAAGATAATGATGATATCCATGGACGGCGGTTATCACTTAATAGATACAAATTAAAAACGTTTTACTGTCACTTGGGAAACTTGGATATTTTATCGTTATGCCAAATATATAATCAAAATAAGTTGATTAATAATACCTTTTCTGAATACGTTTTAAATGTTATGTTTTTAGTTTTAATTAAATGAAATCATGTACAAAATAAAACAAAGATAACAAAAAAAGATGCATTTTTAAAAGTTAGTTTTTTAACAAATGAATAGTGATGGTGTGATAGGCCCAAGCAGCCTCAGTTGTTGACCGCATGGGTTGGCTCGTCCGGGTAAGTACCACGACCTCACAGAAGACCGGCGTAAAGTAGAAGTATAATACTATCGCGTTTCGTCTGGCCGGAGCCCAATTTTTAAAAAGTTGTCAACGCATCTGGAACCCGCGTGTGTAGCATATGTCTATTCTATGGGCGGCGGTATTTACTTAACATCAGGTGTACCGTCTGCTCGCTTGGCAACTTTTCATATAAAAAAAAACTGCTGTAGGCCGAAAGCATTCGGAAATCCTCCTGGGTATATATCGATACTCTCCTGGAAATATCTCGTGCACATGATCATCTTTATCTGTATGCTTGAGCTCCGGCTTACACAGATGTAGCAGTTACTGAATAACTTGGTATTCTCATATGGGACTACCAAGTTATTTACTAACTCTTGCGGTAGACTGTCCAATTCCTAAATGGTGGCTTCTCTGATCTCTGTCTCTGTGAGAGTGTTTTGCTGTTGATTTCAACCAGCTTGTTCGGTCGAGCTATAGTGTGAAGTTATACGCTCATGGAGAGGTGTTCATAGGGTGGCCAACCATACTGTAACTAACACATACTTTATAATAACGTATCCTAAGGTAAACGCACCTAATAACGACCCCTTAAAATCGGCACCCATTACCGCCCGTTTCATAAAACTATTATTTTAAAGTGTTGTATTAAAATTAGACCAATAGTTGCTTTAGAGAAAACTTAGATGTATTTCTATTACAAATATTTATTACTTGCTTTGATGTGTACCAACGATTTAAACAATAATTGCACATTTCGTCGTGCGAGTCCGGAGATTGCGCATATTTCATAGTATCACGCTCCCGACTACGTAAGGTCACCTTATTTCTTATTTGGCAAAAAATATAATCTTAAAGTAATCTAATGTACCTTATAATTATTTTGGTACCTTCTAAATACTTTCATAAACACAAATGATAGATAATTTTAATGAGATACAGCTTTAATTTGGCTAAAATTCAATTTTAAAATGTGGTAATACGAACAATAATCACAATTTTCTTCCTACTACCGACCTATGTCGCTGTTAGGTTTTTGACGAGTATTTTATTCCATTTTCTTGTTGTAATGCATCAATTAATAAGAAGTAAAAAGTAACAGCATATACACATCCCACTGCTGAGCAAAGGCTTCCTCTATACAGAGGGTATAGCGGAGGGAATAGGGGTCAGGGCATAGTCCACCACGAAACCACCGAAAAAAAAAAAGTTATAATAGCTCGGTCGGTAATGGGGCGGCCGCTAACAAACAGCCACGAAACAGAAGGCCGTGGTTCGTATCACGATCATTTACACACTTATTTTTTTACTTTTTTTTCGATTCCAGATCATTGCTTTCTTTATCTGTTATTTTTTGTCGATTTGTTATTTTTGTTATTTTTTTCCCCTTTTTTTAAAGTTCTTTCTTTTGTGAAAAACACCAGTTCATATTTTCTTATTATTACGTCGGTAAGATCGAAATATATTATGCATATTTCATTACTTAGTAATTTGTATCTAAATGTAATTTCCAAAATACACGACGGTCCTCCAGGTACTAAATAATTAATCACACAAGCATTTTTATTTAACTCGAATTGGTCTGTTCTTTAGGACTCTGTAATAATAGGTGTCATAAAAACGGTAATAGGAACATACCCCATGCATTGGATCGGTAATAGGTATCTTACCATAGCTCTTTTCATCAATATGTTTTTTAGTTTTTTTTCATTTTTCTAATTATTTTTATCACATTAAAACTATTAACAGTTTTAGTACATGAAAAAATAAATAAAAAAGATGCCAGTTATTTAAGATGTTTATTTATTCCTTATTTTTGGCATATCAATCTGAACTGGTCTTAAACTGGCGGTAATATGTGCGTTTACCTTACTTTATTTTTGGTAAGTATACATTATACTTTTGCATAAAAATAAATTATGTTTAAATACTCTGTCTTCAATCTTCACTTTGATGCTTAAAATATAACACTTACAGTGTATGTACCTCTATGCATAATTACTTATCTATCAGTGTGTGCTTGAAGCATACAAAAATACTGCGGAGATTCCCAAGCGGAGAAGTGTATAAAGATTTGAAAATGTGTGATACTTTATTTTTGTTAAAAACAGTTAGCGACCCTAGGTGTTCACTCGTTCAGCGCGATGTGCAATCGCATTATCATCGACAAACACGAATCAGTGACCGTCAATAACGACCGTTTTGAACATATTTGACGCTATGAAGCCTTGGTATGGCATATGATGAGAGACTTTCTATTTGCAATCATTATTCCACCTTACCTATTTCTTAAATAAAAAGATAATACATAAATGGTTATCAACTTCTTCTTCTACGTAGCATTTATCCCAGCTATTGCCAGGGTCTGCTTTCCTACTTAAACTCCTCTACCGATATCAACATTATTATGTATAATCAGTACAATTTACAATGCATTTGCGATCCTTCGAGCTGTAATGGCCTTCTAATTAATAACATTATATGTAATAGAACAATTATATAACTATGCATGCAGCTGTGTTAAAAATATGTTGGAAAGATTGTGCTGTTCGCGATAAATACCTACAGACTACAACAGTACCTAGTACTTTATATACTCGTTGAGGATGCGAATAAATATAGAACAACTCTAAATTCTTTTTTTTTTTAACATTGTCCTTACTTTAGGATAACATTATCCTGTGTTGCATAGTGACCAGCTGTATCAGTCAAATCACTTACTATGAAAAAGTCGTGTACAGACCTCCTCTCATGATCGGTAGTATGTGAACCAAGACAGGTAACGTGATGGATCTTAAAATCACCAAGGATCACGATCTTTGCGGTTGGGTTCTGTTGGAGCATGTAATCTGTACTCATTTGAACGTGGTTGATAAGTCGGTCTATTTTTTTTGTCTTTTTTAAAAAACATGCCCTTACTTTAGGATAACATTATCCTGTGTTGTAGGGACGTTTTACAAACATAAATTTCATCTGGACAAACACCCAGTCTACCCACAACTATCTGTGGGCCACATAAATACTTGTCCCGTGTGGAATCGAACCCACGACCACCGACGCTGAAGCCAATACGTTGGCAACTGCGTCACGGAGTCGCCATTCATATTTGAGATTTATCCATCACCATTATTTCAGGTTAATCAGTCTACTGGGCATAAGAACTGACTGTGACTGTCCCGCACATTTAATTAAGTTTCCGTTATTACCAGACGTGTTATCTTTAACCGACTTCCAAAAAGGACAAAATTCTCAATCCTACTGTATTTTTTTAATGTTTGTTCGCCAGAACTTTCGAGAGAGTAAACCGATTTTTATGATTCTTTTTTTATTTGAAAGCTGGTGCTCCACTTGTCATTCCATTTCAATTTGGTCCAGTTCTGACAATTGCATCCATGAGAAAACCATATAAGTATTAAATTTTCATTAAGTATGTATGCGACAAATAACTCAATATCACGTCCACCGATTTCGATATTTCTTTTTTATTGGCGGTAGTATAATAAAGTAATATTACAAGGGTAGTTCATGAGAGTTTGGTTAGGTTTTGATTATGGGATCCATGATAAAGTAACGGAACTCTTCAATTCTTAGGAGCAAATTAACGATACTCATCCGAATCTCTTAAAGGCTCTTCTTTTAACTCCTGCACTTATCTCACACTAGGTGGGGTCGGCACAACATGTCCAAGGCAACACTAACACACTCTCGCCTCTCGCTTAATCAAGCCGTGGGCGACACAAGCACATCCCACCTAAAACAATGATTTTTTTATGTGAAAAGTTGCCAAGCGAGCAGACGGTTTACCTGATGTTAAGTGAATACCGCCGCCCATGGACATCTAGTACACCCGAGGGTTCCAGATGCGTTGACAATCTTGGGCTCCGGCCACCTCACTTACCAGACGAAACGTGAAAGTATTATACTTCCACTTTGCGCAGGTCTTCTGTAAGGTCGTGGTGCTTACCCGGACGAGCTTGCCCATTTGTGCAACAGCCGAGGCTGCTGCGTGGCCCTACCACCGCAAAATGTATGTAGTTGCAAACGTACTTTGGCTGACACAGACTCCAAAATTACCAATAAATGTTGGTAAATTCGTAGCCCTGACTTTTGTATTGCTGATGGTTTTATATGAACTAAGATTATTACGCCTAAAACTATTACCAAAGTGTATAGAGCGCGACAATAAATGAACACGCGTCTAACGCTACTTGCCAATAATCATAAAAAATATAAACGTTAAACAAAAAGTAATACAATAAATGACAGCTTTAATACACTTTGTTATCAACATATTTAAAATTGCCGAATTAATCTACACTAGTGGTCGCCCAATTATTTATACATGGTACTGTATGTAATGTTTTTTTATAGATTACATTTTTTTGCATAAATTTGGAAAAATATTGTCATTCTGCAATTCTTCTCTATAGAAACTATGACGGCCGGTTTCTGAAACACTGATCATCGTAGATGTCAACTAATCAGCTGTCAAATGGTTTTCAAATTTCATTTTAGTAGCCAATAGGATCAGATGACAGTATGTATTGGTAGTCGTTGATTTGCTTAATGCTAACAGTGATATGACGGATTTACTAGCAGACTAAGTAGGTTAGAGCCTAGGGCGGCAGATTTTAGCCCCCCCCCCCCCCCATTATTACATACATAGAGAAAACGAGTCTTGAACATTTAGTGAATATTGAACACACGTCTCATACATGAATTATTACTGAACCCTTTGTATAATACTTAATTATAATTTTCTTGCTTAAAGCGGGTGATAATTTTGCGAATTTGAAATCTCGCAAAAAGGTAAAGTTTCATAACTTGATTTATTTTATTGTCATTGTTTACCCAATTGTAAATCGAGAATTTAAAAGATATTCTGTTTGAATTTTTTTAACTCTAAAATCAATAAAAAGATTTGTACAATGTTTACAACAATGTACCTTAATTTTTTTTTTGTTAACTAGATTCATATATTGGTATAATAATTTTAAAAACATTACCTTATCTTATAACTAGAATATGCTTATGTTATCTCTAAAATTTACCCAAAACCTGTTTTTCATGTAATCTTCCCTAAATCGTGGGTTATAAATGTATTCTAGAAACTGACACAACCTAGTTCAAAATCATTGTCTTAACGACAAAAAACGGAAGTAATGAAAACGATAGAGCACAAATGCACACTGGATGCCAATGTATTCGTTTTAAAAAAAGACAACTGGGAAATAATTCACCTGGGAAATTAGGCGTGTGGCAGTAGGCACGATTACTTTTATCGTCCTCACAATACCGTAAAAAGCTGTTGCGCTGAAATTTTGGTTTTATCGTTAACGATTAGACGCTGCGCTTAACCCATGTATTTGCCGTTCCATGCCCAACATGTTACGCACTCGTGTCGCTCCATGATTATCGGGTATGCCATTGACGTCGTCCGCGGCCAGTGGCTGGCACCGCCGGCATCTGGCGATGTTTTCGACGCCAGATCTGGTTGCAATCGTGTCCTACCATATCTTAATATACGCGCCAATAGCACAGCCGTTACATATTTATCGTGCGCATTAACAAAATTTCGCTGATATGCTCGATTGTTGTCTTTCATTGTAAACTTTCGACGGAAAAATTGCTACGTTAAGTCAAAACTTGCAATTTTTCTACTGAATGTTAATTACATGAGTAAACATAAAACAATAATAATCTTCTTTTTTTTCTTTTTGGCCCGGCACAATTTGTTAATAGTAATAGTATTGGCTAGATTTTTTAGGACTGGCCGCCTGTCTGTCGCCAACTCTCCTTGGGAACAAACAACAAGATCTGCTTTGGGACAAATCGTATAACAAACATTGATTATTGTTAGTTAATATCTTTTGAAATAGCTGATATGAAACTATTTTCACTTTATCACATTTTAAATCTAAATATTAAATTAAACTGAATATGAGAAATTTCCGTCTTTTTATACAAATCAAACTTCCATTTATTCTATTTTTGTTGTATCTGCAGATAGAATAGTAATGGCTATCCTGTTGTTTGGCTGATAAAAACGTCATTATGGGAATGGCATTGTTTCAATTGACGCGGGTGAATAAATAGGAAACCGACTGATAAAACTGGTTTCCAATTACACATTGCTAAAATATTGAGGACATCTGTGATTTGTCTTTACTTTGTGTCGAGTGATTTTAAACATTTTTAAGTTCACCCTCATGAAAATAAAATCAAAACCCTGAATTTAATTATTCCATTTTTCTCGTGCGAACTTCAAAAACTACCTGATACTAAATTAGACCAGTCCAAAAAAGAAATGAAGGAAAACATTGTGTTTCTATTTACTACATTTCTTTTTTCTCAATAGTTTGTTACAAAAAGATATCACCATGAAATCAGTAGAAGCTGCTTATTATGAGCTTTAATTCAACTTACTCGAGCAACCTGAGTCCCGATTCCCGGTGCCGGCACCAATGAAAGTTAGCAATATAGGTAGTATTTTACTTGTGAGTTCCATCATTGGCAAGGGGCAAGCTTGTATACAAAGCTTACATAAAAAAGAACTATAGCTAATACGCTGATAACTTTCTCTTTTGATATATTACTCAGGTATTTGTTCACTCTGTATTCGGTTTTTATCATGTTATGCACCTTTTATAAGAGTCAGTGAAAAGTATAAAGGGCTATTCATGTACTAATTGTTTAGACAGTCACCTTATTAATTGTCATTGCCTCGAGTACACCCACAAGAGTGGTGGGTACTTGCCTGGTGTGCTACGTGTCAGTGGTTTTTGTCCGTGACACAGGAAATATTTCCTAGTGCGGGAGACAAAAAAAGGAAAAGTTATGAGAGATTTGCACGAGCTTGTGTAAGAGGAGCATTTTTTATGGGAGAAGGTGACAAATGAGCTGGCGGTTCACATGATGTTCAACAAGTTAACCGCAGCCCATTGACAATTGGAACACTCATAGGTCTGTAGATACGTTGCCAATTTTTAATAAAGTGGAACCCAGCTACCTCACTCACCAGACGAAATACAGAAGTATAACACTTCCACTTCACGCCGTTCTTCTGTGAGGTCGTGGTACTTACCCGAACGGACTTGCCCACAGTTTTTATATATTTATAGTAAAAAATAAAGAGTAAAGAAACAGCCTATACATGTCCCACTGCTGGGCAAAGACCTCCTCTATACAGAGAGTATCAGGGCATAGTCCACCACGCGGCCCCACTGCGGATTGGCGGGCTTCACATATCTTCGAAATTTTTTTTTTTTTGTTATTATTTCGAAAATATGCAGGTTTCCTCACGATGTTTTCCTTCAACGCGGAGCACGTGATAAGTCAGGACTTAAAAACTTCACTGGTGCCGGCACCGGGGATCGAACTCAGGTTGCTCGAGTATTTTTTTTTTTATGCGAAAATTTGTCAAACGAGCAGACGGTTCATCTGATGTTAAGTGAATACCGCCGCCCATGGACATCTGCTACACTCGAGGGTTACAGATGCGTTGACAACCTTTTGAAAATTGGGCTCCGGCTACCTCACTCACCAGACGAAACGCGAAAGTATTTGTCATACTTCCACTTTACGCCGGTCTTCTGTGAGGTCGTGGTACTTACCCGGACGGGCCTGCCCATTCGTGCAACAGCCGAGGCTGCTGCGTGGCCCTACCACCGTAAAAGTATATTGAATTAAAGGCGAGCGCCCGGACACTGAGCTATCACGTCCTATATATTTATATGTACACATAATTTAACCTAAACGACATATTTCTTTTAATGATGTTAGTGCATTAGCAACTATGTTGACGAGTGAATGTTCTCCGGATCATTAAGTTTGTACGTTGTTTTAGTATCAAGGAAATTTTTCCTAGTAATTAAGGTCTACTCCAATATGATAATAAAGGTACTTAAATAGCTGTAAAAACTGACCATTGCTTGGTTTGACAGAGAAATTCAGTTGTCTGACATCTCAGTCCGTCCCTTGATTATGATTGGTACACAATACGGTCAGGGTACGAAAACCTTCGTCAGTTTCATTCCTTCGTCAAACTCATTCCTTTATCAAGGCAAAGGCTCTTAGTACCTCTGGAAACTAAAGCATTAAACAGACAATTGCATATATAATTACACTTACTTGATATGATAACAATGGACAATATAGTATACACCTTTGACCTGTAATCAAACCTTTTTAATGGCCTAGTCATTACGAAGTTCGAATCGAATATGTTCTATTTAATTGTCAGTGTGCATCAGTGTAGTATATTTTCTCTTGAATTTATTGCGATCAATAATAACTGCGTCGTATTTAATTGGATAATGCCGAGGTAAAAGTAGCCATGCGAGAGCTGTAATTATTGCAGATCATGAAGTTGTTCCATAACATTAGCGAATTATCTTGACATCATAATATCACTAAAAACACTCTAAGGTTCTAGATCAAGAGACATGCGGAAGAAAGATCTTTATAATGACCGCCGCCTATTATTTTTAATGTGAGAAAGTGGAAAACGAGCTAGCGACCTGATGTTAAGTGACAACGGCTGCTCATGGACATTTGCAATACCGCTAGCTTTGCATATGCGTTCCCACCTTTTAGTAAAGTGGGCCCCGGCTACCTCACTCAGCAGACGAAACGCAGAAGTGTAACACTTCTACTTCACGGCGATCTTCTAAGAGGTCGTGGTACTAACCTGGACGGACCTGCCCAGTAGTGCAACGAAAACTTTTGCGTGGCCTTACCACATCATTTGCGGCCTTATAACTCCGTAGAGACCAAAAAATCTAAGCTACACTTCTCACTAAAAATCTACTGCGTAATAGATTATATATGGCATATGTGGATTGTGGACCATTTTGACTTTTGTGTATGTTTCGTATTTGGGTGGTACTTAGCTAGCGGTATCAAATTGACTGTCGGTATATAGGTTGTGCTGCAGGCCGTCCCACACTTCGTTTTCCTAACCGTGGTGTCCGCTCTAACACGTGTCGGCTCCAGCGACCATCAGTACGTCTGGAGACATGGCCAGCCCACTTCCACTTCAGCGTGCTAATTCTGCGCGCAATGTCGGTAACTTGGTGAGGCGTTGGTATAATAAGGGTACAATGTCCGTCCTTGTACAGTATTTTTGTACGAAACAAAATGATAACATGAAAAATATTTTGAATAAGTTGAATCTACTCTATCGTGATTGAAGATAGCAGAATAAAAATAAAAAATACATTTTCTCTCGAAATGGTTGTTTTTAACTGGGGATGCTTCATACTTACTTATTAGTTGGCGCCATATTTAATTTATATATCGAATGAGATTGGCTGTGAAATTTTAAAATCAATCTAATCTTTAAGTTTAAAATTATAATTTTAAAGAAAATAAAGACATTTTCCGTTGTTCGCAAGAATAATTTTATTTCAATTCAATAGCGATTGGCTTAATCTCTGAATGATTTTTCTTTCTTCTGCACTTGTCACTAGGTGGGGTCCTTTTCTTCCACTTTCTTCTATCAGCCATCATATTGATACTCACCTCATTAGCCGACAAAATCTCTCAATGCATGAAATTGCAAATATCTCCAAACACTTCCTGCGTTGTAGTCCCACATTAGCTTCTACTCTTGCATCGTTAGCAGGCTCAGCCAGTCCTCACTGGTTAATATGAAGTGAAAGTATTCATACTTTTGGTTTTTTTTGTCAGGTAATTCAAACTATGGCCCTCTTCTACCCTAACAATCTTATTAGTGACATTTACAAGTTAACGTTTGGGAAAAATTTTCCAGCGTCCGCCCTCAACCAATTCAGCGTTATGTTTTTGTCCTTAGAGACTAACTTTATGTTGACTATTACTACTTATCGTCGAGGTCTCGCCAATTTAAGCCTAGGGAAAAAAAACTTGCGTATTCAGTTAAAAGTATCATCCCCTGGAAACTACTTTACTCGTCGCCACAGCTTGTATAATAAATAATCCTTAGTTATTGTACTATATTGGCTTTATTCTTTGTTTTTGTAGACTTGTGGTGATCGTTGAATTTATGTGTATTTTAAATGAATTTATTCCAGTCACACCGCCCAATTGTATCACACGTAGTCAAAGCTGAGTATCATCGACGTTTGGAAGTCAAAACGTCAACAAGTCAACACCTTACGGGATTCACAAAGTTGGCTTCCGCTAACGTTGTTTTCCGAAAGGTCAGCTCAACTTATGTATCTGACCACCTTTCTTAATCAGTTTTCTTGCTTTCGAATTGTTTTACTTACCGAAAGTAACTTCTTTTTTTCAAAAAATGTAACAGATTTTCTCAAGCGAATTTATCCAAACAACTCGATGCGAAACCAATGTTTGACACGTTTGGAGTCTGGGTGACGAACACCTCGATCTGGATGAAACGGGATCGGAATGGTATGGGGTAGAAATAATCACGGGCGCCACGTTCCGCGCATATTTTTTCTTTAATACGAGCATTATACAACAAATATTGAAACGTAATCGTCAGTTTGAGATCTGCTGCCAACATACACTACGGGCGCTCAACAAATAAACATAAACCGCGCACACTAATCTATATAAACAAGTCGCATAAGTACATACATTCTCCCCGATATCTATACATACACTAAAACTATATCACCAGTCGCACGTCCGTCGGCACTGCACTCACAGACAATCAAGTTCTGTTGTTCGTTTGCTGAACGTTTGTTCGTTTGTTTGTTGTCCGTTCCCCCACTTAGATCTAGTAGATCACTTCGTACACTGTCGCCTTCTTGTCGCCGGAGCCGGTCACTATGTACTTGTCGTCCGATGAGATGTCGCAGCTGAGCACCGACGACGATTCCTTTGACTGTAACAATATCATGGGGTTAACTTTGAAATGAGTTACCATTGTGGAAGCGGAGACCTTTTTGGTTCGAGAAATTTCCCATTTTCGATCACAAATCTATTAAAAACAATAAATACATGTCAAGAGATTGTTAAACGTTTTTAGATATAATACTTCCCGTTTTAATTGAATTAGTTTTGTGCTCGCAAAAACTTTTTATACCGTAAAATATTTTTTTTGGCTTAATACACATAGAATTATAGACTGTGGTAGGGTCACGTAACAGTATTCGCTGTTGCAAGAATGGGCAGGTCCGTCGGGTGCAGGTCCGGAACTCCCAGACCGGCGTGAAGTAGATGCTCATACTTCTGCGTTTCGTCTGCCAAGTGGGGTACACCCTGGCCCACTTTATTATAGGCAACGCATCTGCAACCCCACGGGTGCTACGAATCTCCATCGGCAGCGGTCATAACATAAGGTGGGCCGCCAGCCTGCTTGCCGTCCTCACGAACAAAATAAAAAGTATCAAGACGGCGTGGTCACAACATCGGGTGGGCCGCCGTCCTCTCACAAAAAAAACACGAAGTATCAAGACGGCGCAATGCACCTGGAATATGCTGGCGCCGTAGGGCGTGCGCCACGCGTTGAGCAGGTTGTCCTTGCCGGTGGAGACGAACCACTTGCCGCAGGAGGCGAACCGCAGCGAGAGCACGCACGACTCGTGCAGGTGCAGCTGGTACTTGTCCGGCTTCACGGCGTGCAGCACCTCCACGTTGCTGTTCTCCATGCCCACCGCCAGCCACTCGCCTGCACCAAACGCGCGGCCCGGTTATACAGTAAAACGACAGCCTATATTGCCCATTGTGAAAGCCTTTCCGCCTAACCTTTTTTGATTATACAATAAAGCAACAGCCTATATATCCCACTGGGAAACGCTTCCCGCCCAATCGTAACTCGGTTGTACAATAAAGCAACAGCATGTATAACATGTCCCACCGCTGAGTAGAGGCCTCTTCTGTAATGAGCGTATTAGGGTGTAATCCAGCACGCAACCCCACTGCGAATTGGCAAACTTCACATATCTTCGAATTATTTTTGTTTTTCCGCTAAGCACGTGATCATACAGCACTTAAAACCAACAATTTCATTGGTACTGGCACCGGGTTTGAGCTGATTGCTCGAGTATAATGAACTAAAAGCGCCATATTACCGTCTCAGTTATATGCGTACTTTACTGTGGCAGGGCCACGCGCCTATTGTTTTGCGGGCAACCGCATGCCTGGTTGTACCATTTTACATAAAATCACATAATATGGTATCCACTGATATAATATTATGATATCGTAGAGTGGGAGCATCTTTTTTATATATACCAAACGATAGAAAATCGTTTATTAATGATGTTTAGTAATTTGCATAGCTTAAATTATTTGGAATTAATAATTGAAAATATATTCCAATAAAGAACGTACGTCGTTTTTTAAAAGGAAAACACGGACTGCATTGATTGTTTCTATACGATAAGATTATCCTTTGTTCTCAAGTGCACATGTTGAATTTTAAAGTACACGTCTTGTACAAAGACAAATTGAAAAAGCAAACAAGAGTCGATCATATTGCATTACAACATAATGTCATGAGCATGTTACTGATACTATCTTATCATGACTTATTGAATTCCGCTTGTGATAACTCAGTGGCGCAGTTGCCAAGGTATTGGCTTCGGCGCCGGGGATCGTTGGTTCGATTCCCACACCAGACAACTATTTGGGTAGCCCACAGATATTTGTTTCGGATCTGGGTGTCGAAAACAAAGTCGTCCCGCTGTCTGTCCCTATGTATGCTTAGATCTTTAAAACTACGCAACGGATCTTGATGCGGTTTTTTTACTAGATAGTGATTCTAGAGGAAGTTTTATATTTATAATACATTGCACCCGTGCGAAGCCGGGGAGGGTCTCTAGTGTAATATATAACACAGGATATTATCCTAGAGTAAGGGGCAAATCTTCGAACGCAAGACTAAAATAGTTCTTCTAGGTCGCAGTGGTCGTTCAGACTTAATACCCAACACACACAAAATACAAACTGCTCGTACGGAATCAAACCCACTTCGAGTCAAGAACGAGACTTAAAAAATCACACATTAAACATACCCGTGGGACAGTAGCCGAGTGAGAATATTTGCGAGCTGAAATCGTGTTGCTGTAATTGTCTGCCTTCTCTGAGATCCCATGATCTGAAATGGAAAAGAACGCTTAAGAATATTATAAAACACGAGATACACCAGTTACAACCTTTATTAAGATAAAGGTTGTTTACTGATGTTATTGAAACTTAATCTCTTCTACAAAACTTACGTTAAGAATACTGTAGTGTAAAGTATATCGTATTTTCTGTTTTTCAGTTTAAACCTGTGTTTGAGTCGTTTTTTTACGCAATAGTTTTAAACAGTACATTAATTATCGAGAGTTTCTTCTACTATTTTAAAAACAAAATGCCCAAGAACCGTCCTTAATTTATATGTTCAGCTGTTGACAGGGTGAGATTCCAATCCTAAACTACACCGGTATTAATACTTCAACTTCAATCCTAGTTTCCTTACGATGATACTTCCCCAGTTAAGCTAACATATCTATGAAAAGTTATTTAGCAAGCGGGTGGTTCACATGACGGTGCGTTTGCAGACGCTTTGCCAACCTTGAAGTGGGCACAGGCCCACTAACCATACGAAAGCTAAAAGTATCACGTCGCTCTTCCGTGAGGACGTGGTGATATTCTCTCTCTTTCTTCTTCTTCCTGATAATAATATCAATAGCAGAAGCTGCTGCATGTCACAGTAATGAAGGCTAATGGGCTTTGATCACTGACAATCAGCTCGTCCTACTTAGCCTTAAAATCGTATGAATGATGATCATTCCGTGCCGCAGTTTTTTTTTTTTGTGAAAGTTGCCAAACGAGCAGACGGTTCACCTGATGTTAGGTGAATACAGCCGCCCATGGACATCTATATCCGAGGGTAGCAGATGCGTCGATAACCTCTTAAAAATTCTGCTCCGGCCACCTCACTCACTAGACGAAACGCAAAAGTATTATACATCCACTTTACGCCGGTCTTCTGTGAGGTCGTAGTACTTACCCGAACGAGCCTGCCCATTCGTGCAACAGCCGAGTCTGCTGCGTGGCTCTACCACCGTAAAAGCCGTAAGTTGCCAGTTCAATTCCCACACGAGACAACTAAGACACATAGATAATTGTTTCGTGTCCAGATGTTGGTACACGTGAAATTTATATATGTAAAGCGTCCTTACATCACAGGATAATGTTATCCTAAATTAAGAGGGAAACTTTTTAAGGGAAAATATTAATAGATATAGAGGATGATTTTTTAGACGAAGTACATACTTTAACATACTATTATTTGAGCATTCCAAATTAGAGCACGGTAGGACGGCAGGAATTTCTAATAGGGTGTCCATAATGTTAGAAAAAATTAAAAATAATCTTTGTAAAAAAAAAATCTGGTCACAGGTACGCACCAGGTTCAGATTTAGAATCATATAATGCATATGCTCTGTTAATATGACCGTCGTGTACAAAATCAAACTATATATAGATAAGATATAATAGATAGAAGGGAAGATACAATAGATATTCCAGGTCGTAGTTGTCGTTGGGACTTCCAAACTTCTTAAACAACACGACCCAATGAACAGCGCCTACCTGACGGTGTTATCGAGTCCGCCGGTCCATAGTTTGGTGCCGTCGGCCGATATGTCTATGCAGGAGGCGCCGTCGGTGTGGCCCTGGAACTGGCGCACCAAGGTCTGGTTGTGGAGGTCCCACACGGCGATGTTGCCGTCGGAACAGCAGCTGAAGCACACCTGCAAACAACGATGTTTAATGATAAAGATGACGCATGTGCATACTGCGCGGCGTCTAAAAATTGTACCGCTTTACGTTATAAAGGCATATATAAGTGAATGTGATAGATGATATAGAAGGTATGATGCGAAAAGAGATGGCAGTCTATAGTTACAATATTACACCAATTGGTGTAATTTGAGTGCCTCAGTTTCGGTGCGCTAGTGCCATATCTACCTCATATTTGTTGTTGTATTGTTAATACCATTGCCTGCAAATGGCACGGGAACGATCAGCTAATGATCACCAGAAAGCAAGTCTATGCGATGAGTTCCCTAGGAAGAAGTAGTAGTTCCCAAGCGGTCTCGTGATAACTCAGGTCATCAGATATTATGAGGCGATGTATAGATTCAGGATTTTTTCAATCATCGTCCTATGTATTCGTCGTATTCGTAAATGTAAATTGTTATTGGGAACATAGTGAGAAGAAATTCCTCTCTTTCACCGAGAATACAAACAAGCTTCACAAACCATCGGCACCCCACCAGTTCCTCCTTCAGTTGTCCGATTTTTCGTTACCTTTGAATCGGGGCTAATGGCGAGCGCGTAGCACGCCGGCGCCGAAGAGGTGAGCTCCGCCTTGATCCTGGGCGTGGGCGACGCCAAGTCCCAGATGGAGAGGTTGGACGCCTCGCCGCCGACTATGAGCGTGCGGCCGTCGGGCAGCAGCTTGACCGATCTTATGTAGTTGTCCCTTTGCTGTAAGGAGGGTACATAGACGTCACGTTACGTGTTAAACACTCAGTTCGTGTGACAACGCGCGTGAGGTATAAACGTTTGCTCTTTCCGACCTTTCGTAATTTAAAATATCTAGTTGTTTTATTTTCGATAGTATTAGTGTATGTAATTAAGAGTGTCTCTCTTGACTGTTTTCTTTTTTGCAAGAATTGAGTTACTTGTGAGTTAGGATTTTTTTGGGTATTTTAGATTTTTTTGTTTGGCGTAATTATTGCAACATTAAAATATAGAAAACTGTGATTTTACTGTAAAAGCCGGTCTTTATTTCTATTCGTTTGACTTATGAACCGATTTAGTAACTACTTTCTCTATTCATGACCGTCATATTAGTACGAGTTAACGCATTCGCTTTTGACTCGAACATTATCACGCGCGCTTTCGTATTCGGCGTCGAGTGCGCCCGGCCGTTACCTACTGTTGAGAAACTGAGCGTCGCTCCGCTCGGTGGACAGTTACCGACTCACCAAGCAGTCCAGCTGGCTGACGGGCGCCTTGCTCGGCTGGCTGATGTCCCACACCTTGACGCAGCCCTTGCCGCCCGTGTAGACGTACTTGGTGGGCGAGGAGACGGTCACCGCGCACACCACCTCGCCGTGAGCCAGCGCGGACACTTGGCGCGCGTGCCGCGGGATGCCGGGCCCCATGAGCGCGTCCGGCGGGAACGGCACCGGCTGCATCTGGCCCTCCGCCGACACGTGGAACGAGTACGCCCTGAGCGGGACGGAGATAGTTCTCTCTGTTACAACTGTTAAGATAACCGATTGCATCGGACTATCCGCCGACACGTGGCACGAGTACGCCCTAAGAGGGACGCAGATAGTTCGCCCTGTTACAACTGTTACTGTAACTGATTGGAATACCGGCGCAATCGGACTATCTGCCGACACTTGCAACGAGTACGACATAGTTCTCCTTGTTACAACTGTACTGTACCGATCTATCTTTAGACTGAATATGAGGAGAACGCGTTCAAAACAATAAAAGCAAAAAAGAATTTGCCATTAAAGGAATAGTCTTTAAAACGTATATAAAAACATAGAACCTCTTTAAGTCACTGTATTTAAAGACATGAGGGTATCTCAGAGGGAATATGCAATAATGACACACATTTAAACTCGGACGAAAAGATTTTATCTACAACGTGTATGGATCTCTAATCTACAATTAGCACCCGGGGTCCACTTTTTAGTGGTTGGTAACGCATATCCAACATGTCACCTGTTGTACATGTCCATGGGTGGCGTATATCAACTTAACATCCAATGAACTGCATGCTTGGCAATTTTCCAAAGAAAAAAAAATGACAGGGCAGAAAACTGAAGAGAGGTGCTAAGACTAAAATTTGAACAACTCTGCTGCCGAAAGTACGCTATATGCCTTCTATAGTCTGAAACTATGTCTACAGCGTGTACATACGAATGAAGAGGCTGGCGACTAGGCTTGCACTAAAATATAAACTACTCCGCTCCTGTAAAAAGGCTTTACGTTTCGATGGCATGACGGTGTACTCACGGCTTGCCGCCCGGGATGGGCGCCAGCGCGGAGGGGCCGATGGGCGCCCTCAGCGGCTCGTAGGCGAGCGCGGCGCGCGCCGAGTAGCCCGCCAGGCCGTACGCGTCGTGCGCGCCGTTGCCCAGGTACGGGTACTGCAGCGCGGGCGGCTTGACGGCGGCCTTGAGCGGGGCGCCCGCGCCGCCCGCGCCGCTCGCGCCCGACGTCGGCGTCACCGGCTTCGAGATCGGCGTGCTCGGCTTCTCGTCCAGCTTCTTGGCGGACGGCGTGGACGCGTTGCTCGACGTGCCCGACCTGTGGGCGCCAACGGGCGGCTCAGGGCTGCGGCTGCGTTTCGACGCAAGTTATTGACACCCCTAGCGTGTCTAGGGGTGTATTCAGCTTGCACCGGCACAGCACTGATTTGGCGGACCGAGTGGCGTGCATGTGTATGCGATCTGTTGCCGCGTCCGGGCGGATTACGGCTGCGCCTGCGTTTCGGTGCAAGTCGGACACACCCCAAGGGTATCTAGAGGTGTGCACAGGCATTCTTTGGGCGGATCGGGTATCGTGCATACGTGAGAGAAGAGCTAGTCGCGAAAGAGTGTCCCTGCCCGATGCGACAGACAGGTGCAACGTGGGGTTTTTAGTCGGTACCTTTTCTGACCGGAACATACCTCTGCCGCTTCCCAGATGAGGTAGCAAGGAATCTATAAATGATTTTCCCCACGTAATTAAAGGGGTGTGTTCGGCCCCGGTTTGTAGACTAATCTTCGTGGGACGAGAATAATTATGTAAAGCTTTGTTTGTTAAATTTGAAAATTTTGAACTGTGGTTGTAGAACTGTGGCTTTGGTTGGGCCACGCAACAGTCTTTGCTGTTGCACGAATGGTCAGGTCCATCCTGTGTGCGCCACAACCTCACAGAAGTCTCACCAGCGTGAAGTGGAAGTATTATACTTATGCGTTATCTCTGAGTAAGGCAATAGGGGCCAGCTTTATTAAAACGTGGCAATGTATCTGCAGTCCTATAGGTTCTTGAAATGTCCATGGGCGGCGATCATCACTTAACATCACAGGAATCGCTAGCTCACCTGTCAACTTCATGCATTAAAAAAACATTCCGAGTATATGTATAATATTACAACTAGAGGAAATTTTTCTTTACATATATTCCTCCTTAATTAGTACTTGTTCCAGTTAACAATATAGTCGGTGAGGCCAAAGCCAACACAACCAGACCAGACTAAGGTCGAAGTCTCGTCAAAACATAGCGATTTATTCCGTTTCGAGCGCGGGACTAATTCCTGCATTACAACATAATACTAATAGTCTAATGCGTAATAAACGCTCGGGAAACGAAGCGACACCTATTCGTCGGTCGTTGCGTAAAGGAACAAGCGGATCGGCTTCCGTCTGCTCGCCCCGGCGTGACCTTAAAACGCATGTTATGCGGCAACTCACGGTATAAGGCTTCGCTAAACGGATACAGCGATCGCGCCGACATTTATCGTGCTCGACATAATGCCTATTAGAAGCCCCGCCGGCGTGTTATAACAGCGCCCCGACACACGAGAAAACCAGTTCTCGGAGCGCGATTCTAAATTGGCACCTCCAGCCCCACGTACGTTTATTTCGCTGCCCATAAATTAGAGAAATAACTGACGTTTATTAAGCCTTTTTCTCCGTCCATTCGTGTGTTTTATGACAAATTATGAATTAACGTTTGCCGAGTGTTTTTTTTTACATCGACACCGATACCAAACATGGAATTTGTTAATGGTTTTTTGTTTCGACAAAAAGGCGTAAATGACAGTAGATGATATAATATTCACTTTCCTGATTCATCACAATAATTTATGAATCGATTTTATAAATGCTCTTAGCATTGGGTTCTGTTTAATTTCATTGGTATTGAACCTTGGACTTTACACATACATCAGATAATTTATCAAAATCAAATAAAAAAATGTACAGTGAATGAGATAATTGAAGTCGGTTTAATTTTATTTTTGAAACATTTTACTCGTGTCTGGTACCAACCTAGGGCTGTGAGGTGGGTGCTCTTTCTTAGGCTGCAGTTTGTCCAGTCCGTTTTCTCTCGGCGAAGGCGCGCCGTTGTGGGGTGACGTTGGTTCCTCACTCGCGTCATCCACGACCAACTCCTGCGGAAGAGAAATTCCAATTACACTAATGTACAAAGAGTACGCGCAATGATATACAACCGACTATGAGCTAATAGTCTGCATCCCTGTAACTGGTACTTGATTGAATGCGTTGCTCCCTCGTACGGTAAGCGATTTTTTTAAGAACAGGATATAAATATACAGAGATCGTATTTTACCATCTTATTGTTTAAAGAGAATCGCCTACCGCACTAGGAAAAACCTCAGACACGGACACAGTCGACCGGAAATAACTGGAAGAACCCTGAAATATTCTTCAAGCATGAGCATCGAATCCACAGCACGTTGCTTAAGTCGACGAGGGGACCAGTTGAACCATTTTGCTGTTGTGAATGTTGATTCATTTTTAATTCACCACGGTGATATACGTATAGATTAGGAAATACAATGTTATATTGTCTCTGTGTGAGCGCAATAACACTGCACAATCAATCAAGACTAAAGGCATCTAATTGTTCAAAAGTTAAAAGTAAGAATTTTGAGAGAGGCAGAAATGGATATTTGCGTAAAATTCTATAGAACTACAGTAATTTAAGTTTAATTCAAAACGTTATATTCTCTCACGAACAATATAATACCGCTTCATCAATTTCTACCTGCACAGAGGAGAACTGTCAATTCGTTAGAAAATAAGGAGGTTTATGAAAAACTTTTCTCTAAGGTCTTCCTATAAAAACAATTCAAGATGAAATATTTGTTTCAGATCGTATCTGCGAGCTTAAAAAGTAAAATCTAAGCAAGAGACTTTACCACTATTCTTCATCTCCCCATTGTGTTAAATTCATAACTTGAGCAGCGAGCTTTTACTCGACACCAAATATTTATAAACGGCGTTTACCTAGCGTCGTTATATAAAAATGTAATGTAGAGCGTTTTATGGCAAGTAAATATGTCAACTTCTCGTTTACTTGCTTTCAAAATTATAGCAAGCACTGCTTTTAAGAGCATTTGCCTTTCGGATAGTTTAAATTACACATACATGGCCCATGTCTTTCTCTTCTTTTTTGAGTTTCTTATGGTCCGGTTCCGCGGGGCTCCTCGTTCTATACTTCTCCCGCTCTCCCGGCGATATGGAATTTCTCTGTAACAAGACGTTAACCGAATAAGAGTGTGAACGGGACGCACCGTCGTCCCTAGTTAGCATCGCAAATAAGCGAGGGCAAACATAATCAGAACGTTTACGGCTTACGTTCGTATGGCGGCCAATCAATCGATCATTGTTCGCAAATAAATCGACGCGCAGCGAGGCGAACGCCACAGTCAATATCGATATCAAAACACGCTGAGGCAGAGCAAACTGACCGCATGATTAGCTGCGGGTGTGGCCCCCTCGGGGTCGGGGGCAGAGGGGAGTGGGGAGTGGGGAGAGAGCCAGGCTTTCGGCCGAGCGAGCAGTTCCGGCCTAATGAAATAATCATATGTGACGAACCACCACTATTAGCCATTCCGTTTCGCACAGAGCACTCCCCGCCGAAACTGTCGCAGAGCCACACTCGTGTGCACTCTACGTGCAGTGTGCACATTTGCGTACCGAACATTCGGAATATCGACGGGCATAATTGCGCGCCCCTCGCTATTGGCAGCGAGAGGCGCTCTTTGATGCCTTTGTAATGGAGAATCGAACCGGATAATGCGTCGACGACTGTTTGTTACGATGAATGTATATTTCCTGTGTTACGAAACCGGCTTTGTGTATGCGGACGGGTCGGGGAATTTCTTTTTTGTATACCTTTATGTATACTTAACGCTTATTGAGTTCGCATAAGGCGTCCTGTATAGATTTTTTTCTATTCCTTTTGCATCACAAATTTTGTTCAGTGATCTTGAAAGATTGAGGATGAAAAGATTAGATCGGAAGAGATTATTTTCTAGATCCTAGAAGAGTATTTTTCAAGTCAAGTTTTCTACAGCTTTCTATAACATAATATATCTTAACTAAAGTTGTTTAAATTATAATTTCATGTCTGTGCTTTCCATAAATTGCTTTGGCACCTCTTATTTAACACTAAATCGCGCTTACGTTCGTGACGTCGTTCCTAATCTCGAATGAGAAATGGACGCAGTGTAATCCGTCCTCTGGGGAAGGCGGCGGGTACAGCGATGTCGCCGGAGGCTCCAAAGGGCCTAATTTTACGAGGCACTAAGTTCGGAGCTAGTGGCAAACGGCTGTTAATTTGCCACGCCGCCGACCCGTCGCTTGGCCGTGACTTACAACTTACAACCCGCTACCCGCCCGCCGACAATAACCCTAACGTCGCAGCCCCGGTTTATCGCCCGAATAACTGCGCGCACAATAACTGCGATACCTTTTGTTTCCGCCACGACGATATCGGGTTGTAAAATTGGATTATTGGACACCCGATAGGTCAGACGTAGCCGATAAAGTTTTATTGTGGAACCGATGGAGTGGTTGTGTGCGTGAGCGGTACAGTGCGCCTAAACTTTACGAGCGGTCGCTCCGAGGCGGTCGGGTGTCGTGTTTCCAAGCGGCGCTATTTCGAGCGCCTCCATAATGCGACGTGCCGGCCTCTATGGGTCCGCTTTATCGCCCGTAGGAGTCGTCCACCAACGGTCGACCATTTGTGGTCGATCGTTAATTTAATAGATTGAATTTGCGGTCGGCCGCCGACGCGGGATACACTCGTTGCATGGTGCATTTCAACTTTGCGGGTCGGTAATTAACTCCTTGCGATTGCCATCTGGTAATTTGTATTACACAGTACACAGATTATTATACATTAAAGGTGACCATTAGTGTCCACAGTAATGGGTTATGATAAACAGAAGGAACTGTGTACTAAATGCGGATTAGTGAATAGTTATTTTTATTATTGGAGCTCTTAAAATTGGATTTGTCTTTTACAGAAAATTATTTTAGTCAGAAACAGCTTCTCTTTCACATCAAAAGAGGAATTCTTTTTAAATAATAATACCGAAGCGGCAGCCATGATGGATGCTACAGAACAAAAACGCAAAGAAAGTACTCTTAACTTATGCTTGCTACGATGAACTACTTTAAAACTTCCTTTATTATAATTAATGGCTCTGCCTTTGTGGGACCTATTATATTACGTGCATTAAATATCAACTGGTAAATACTATCCTTGAAATCACAGCCGTAAATCGTTTATTTATAAACTTTAGTAAATGTAAAAAATAATAAAGATTGTGTGCTGTAACTTTTCGTTAAAAATAAAATAAAAAGGAATAGAATTAAACAACTTAAAATTGTTTCGAATTAATCGAAATTTCGATAGTGTTCGCGAAAGCGTTCCACTTTCATCGGGGAAACCCTTAATTCCCCCTTTGAAAATTCGAGCGAGAGATTCGACGATATAAAGTGTATCGGGAACCTTTTCCATTTTCGAACGGAAAGGCGAACAGAGCTAATCTGTACTTTATCCCATTACGCGGGTCGACCTCAAGAAAAAGGCAATTGAGTCGGTCTCGAGGGTAGCGGGGGGAATGGGGGAGGGGGAGTGTTTCTAAACAAGTACGAGCTTCTACAAGCTCCAACAACACGACTTATCGGCTACCGTGGCGCGGAGGTCGCGCACATGTGTCGCATATAAGCGGGTCGGCGAGCGGAGGCGGGGGCGGAGGCGAACGCGGAGGCGGGGAGCGGTGACGTAACATATAAAGTGGCAACACACAGGCGCGCTGTTAACGCCGCCCGGGCTTATTGTCTGCGGTCACGCGACGAGCCGTTTAGCCGCGCGCGCCTCGCCGCCGCCCGGTTAACCGGAAGGAGGAGGGGGGGCGGTTAAACGGACGCCCGGGGACGGAAGCGGGGCGGAGGGACGGGGAAATAGATAAATAGACCGCCCGCCCGCCACTCGGAAATGTACGGATTGAGTTTTGACTATATTTCAGGCGTAATGGTTTTTGAAAAGTTGCCGCGATTTACACGCGACGCTCCCCATTTTTATTGCGGCCGCCGGTTATATCCGGGGTCGTTTTAGGGATATGACGGCAAACAGTTTTGAAGTTAGTATATTGGATAGCTAGTTTAATAAAACGTTATAATAGTATTTAAGTACATTACCGGATTAAAGGTTCGACAGTAGAGATGGTGACGATAGATTCGTGTTGTTTTTAACGTCGCCAGCGGAACCAGAGAGGGGCAAAAACAATAATCGGAAGCGAGGGGCCGCGGCGAACGGAAACTGGTGCCGCAAAAAACGCGCCAGGGAAAAAAAATTAATCGGCGCCGTGCGAGCGAGCGCGGGGCGGTGGGCGACTTCGGAATTAACTTTACCGGTTCATTCGTACACGTGAATAGAGACGGAATTCCCGAATGCGCATTAAACTCCAATAAAGAATACATTAGCATAAATTTATGGTAGCGAGACGGGAGTTCCGAGCGCGTTTTTACGTGACTCGTAAAGTTTACTGCGGCGAGTGCTGGATTGCGTTTACTGCTGTCGGTTTATGGCCGACCCCGAATAGCCGAATTGCCAGGCCGCGGTGCCCTCGCCCGAAGCGTATTATGCACCGCTCCGGACGTTACGGAGTTCCCTAAAAAGGGCGCATGTACACATGTACGCTTTAACTGTGGTAGAGTCACGTATCAGATGCACGAATGGGCATACGGGAAATGGATGTAATAATTTTTAATTTCGACTCTTGTAGTGTCTCGAAGACACCCCACTCTTTTAATGATTGGTAACGCAACTGTCCCTATTAGGTATTGGAAATGTCCTCTACTCGCTTCTCAAATAAAAAACATGACTGTTCCTAAACGTAGCACGTAAAAAGCCCGCAGGATCAGTGGCCTTTCAACTCTGTGCCATGATGAGATTTGCATAGTCTTAAAAGCACTAAGCGAAAACCTCGTACAAAGAATAGAAGCCGAGTCACGATGGAGATGGTTAAACTTTAATACCAAAGTTTGTTCGGTATTTATTGCAATAAATGCATTTGAAGATCGACTAAGACTCCGAGATATTGCGCGGTACACGAATGTTAAAGAGTTATTGGCATTTGAGCTTGTAAGCATAGACCTTTTAGATATAAGGTTGGAATTTTTTTATATAATACCTTGGATCGCCACCTCGAGGCGTATTACAAAGCTTACAAGACAATGCGAAGGAACCCGTCAAATTTTTTATCACGATACAAGAGCACTAATAAAATGTTAACATGGCTAAATGGGCTCTAATATTTAATAAGTCACAAATATGTTTAAACATTTTTCATGCTTTTATGAGCACGTTTACTTTTCATATTTAAAAAGCTGTAACAATAACTTATTTTACTTATACTTAACATAAATAGTATTAAAATACATTTTGTACAATTTTCACAATGCCAATAAAAGATTTATACATCTTTTGTCTCAATTTTTTAAGTTGTATATGTACATGTATTGTTTATACTTGTTGTATTATACACGTGAATCAATTTGAGTTGCGTTAAACGTTACCTTTCTAATATTATTAATTGACTTCTAAAGTAGCACCTACACACTAAGCTGAAGATAAGAAATTGTTCGATCAGGTACCGACATTAAATCCAATGTATCACTGGGGCCGGGGGAGGTCGTCGATAAGCAATCTCACCCTTGCTCGATTACAGGAGTAATTAGCACAATTAACGGGAAGGCTTAGAAGGGGCGGCGCGGGCGCGATCGTTTTCACGCACGCAAACAAATGTCACGTGGCGGCGGCGCCTTAATTAAAACGATAATTGAGTCGACTCGAGAAACTCGCCCGACAATTTCGAGTTCGGGGAGGAGTTTCGCAACCCTTGGAGTTTCTACGTACCTCGCCCTAAGTGTCGACGACTTTAATTTCATGTTAGCGTCTACGCCGCTGTCCCTGGGCGGATTTTAATACGGACTGCGGTTTGTGGAATTGCTTAAATAAATTAACACCCGAGCACCGACGGAGGTGGCGTCGAAATCAGACACCGGCCAACTCGATTACTACAGCTTTATATATCTTTAACAACTAGGTACGAAGCACCTGGCAGCGTTTTGTGCTATTTAAAACTATTTAGACATGCCAAAGGTGTATTTTGTTTATGGCTTCAAAATTAAGTTTGGAGGTTCGTTAAAGAGCGAAATAAGGGCCGATAAAA